GGATGGCAGACAACCACAAACGGCGCCCCCCCCTGCCCCCCCCCCTCTCCCCAACCGACTGCCGGGTCAGGAGTGTGCATTGCATAACGCCGTTGTCGTGCTCGCCCCGCCGAGGCCGAGTTTGATCTCTGTGTTTATTAATAGACCCACAGCGGAGGTGCACGACCGAACGCAACTTGCTCTGCTCCTCAAAAACTAGGGCCTGACCGACTGGAATCTTCAAGGCTGATGACGATTCCGAAATTTGGCAGGGGAACAGTTGAATGTCATTATTTTCGTCGATCAAGCGGCCGATATAGCTGGATTTTTCAGTGTATTGATCAAAGTAAAATGCGAATTTTGGCTATGGAAAAGGGTTTTGCAAATAAACAACGTCAGGCCCGCACACCGCCTCGCATATTTTTGTTTTGATTGGATATGACATCACATGTATGACACAAAAAATAGCAACGGACGATTAAGTAGGGCATGTTTGAGGGGGCAAAGAAATTGAGATATTTCTGGAATTAATGAAAGAAGCGAATATTAATGCGAGAATGCACCCGTGTTTCCATACAGACGGAGAACAACATCTCTTCTTCTGCACATTGACAGATCCCTGACTTGTGCGTCCCCAGCTTGAAAAGTGGACTGTATAAACCGCTATGTCCAAATCTAATTCGATATTACCACTTCATGCATTCTATCCCCTTCCCTCCAACAGTCCACTAAATTCTGTAAAACCCCATCATTTGTATCCGACACAATCTTTTTGGACTTTCCAGTACTTGATCCGGTTTATTTTGCAAAATAACTAACCTCTAAACTGTTAACCCTTGAAGTACAATCTAAGCATAAAAATGTATATCATGCCAATAATGCTACCTTCTCCCCCGTAAACACTAAAAACTCTCCGTTAATCCTTTTCCCCATTTCAATCTTGAATTCTAGTATCTGATGGACACTGCTCCTGCCACTCTATCGTGTTTGTTTCGATGCATCGGTACAGCTTTTCGTGTAATTAACATAACTGGAAATACACTGTCCAAAATCACGACTGCCCCATCCTTGTTCTTCTTCTGTAGCATCAACTGGCACTTGGCAAACCGGTTAATCTCCCGTTACCGACACCAATTGATAATATCCTTCTTTTCACGCTAAGGAAACCAATGTGAATCGATGGTAGCCAGATATTGTGAATTTGTGATGTTTGCTCCCGTCACTCAAGCTCATGCTCAAAAACAACAACAAAGAAGGGGGCCAAGTGACCGTGTGTATCTAAAAAAAAAAAAAAATCACAAATAAAGGTACCACTGTGGGGGGGAAAAAAAACTGTCAGAAAATCAATTTTCGGACTCTGTAACGCCCAAAGGAGAATAGGCGGGTTCCAAACCGCGAGTATCCGGGGGTCCACTACATAAGTGTATTTATCTATTTATTGTAGTTTTTAAATACATTAATTTACCATTTTATGTGGCCAAAGCAAATATGCTAATGCGTAAATAATTAAAAGACTCTTAATATTTTTATTTTTTTTTTGATGACGCCAGGCATGTTAGCTCCGTTCCGCTTTTGACAACTCGCCTGTCTTTTGAGCCGTGTGCCCGACCTCTTTTAAGTTTTGACACCTGGGTGGGCATGCTAATAACAGGGTCAGACGTATTCAGACGACGTGGGTTTACGGTTTATTCTGGCCAAATGGCACGACAAGCAGCCGGTAAGTTGTGGTTGCCGGGGCCGGCCAAGTTAGCTTTGTTTATTAGCCATAGCTCCGGAGTGAGTTGAATGCTTAGGTAACGTTAGTCACCGAGAGGCAGTGCAGTTGGTGGGGAGGCAGTTGGTGGGGAGGCAGTGGCTCCGCTAACCCCCGCCTCTTTTTTGCTCGTTTAAGTAGCTTGAACGAAGCGGACGACTCCCTAATGTCACATGTACGGTAACCCGCCGAAAAATATGTGCGTTAACGTTAACGCAGCTCTCTCACCGTTCCTCAGCTCATGTTTCACCGTAAAGAGGTCACACTCCCTGGACGGTCCCTCCATCGGCGATGGCATTGTGATGATTTCTTTGGGCTCCAGTTCAGATCGGCGATTCCCGGCGAGGCTCCGAGGTTCGATTGACCGAAAAGGAAAACAAATAATAAATTAAAAAAATAATCCTTGGTACGAACTTAAAGGTTTTATCACACACGGCACCGACATTTTTACGTGCCCGTATGTTGAGGGATATGCGGCCAGAATGTTGCCACTCGGGTTGCCAACATGAAGCCAGCACAGCTAGACAGTCAGTCAGTGGAAACACTACTTTGCCTCTACCTTCGCAACCAGGCAGCCCCTTGGTGCTCATTGGTGTTGCTACGTAAAATCCCGTTCTCTGATTGGCTTTTTGAAAACTGACGCCAGGCAAGTCCCGCCTCCGTCAGAACTGTACGAGCTCCGGTGCTGAAGTTCCTTGAAATAAAATTAAGTCCCATAAAATACATTTTCAGTAAATTGAATTCAATTGACTCATATTTGGTAAGATGAAATTACTGTTTTATGATTTTTGTGACATCATAAATCATATTAAAATGCATTTGTAACTACATTAAATTGATTAATAAAAACGTGGAAGAGCGGTTAATTATTATTGATGTTATCATCTTAATTAAAAGTCACACTTTATATTTTCTGTTATACAACACATCACAACCCGATCATACTCACACATGCAAGAATGGAAGGAGCGATATCACAGTGAAAACATTAGTTCACAGATTTATTGAAAATAATTAAATAGAAATAAGGCCTATTATTACAATTGCTTTACATTTTTAAATATGCAATTAACTATGTGTGTGTTTTATATATACTGTTCACCGTTTTGATGGATATCTATTTTAAAAAGTACACTGTTTATAAATATCTCTTCCTTTCGACTGATTTACCCACACTCCAGTCCGGTAAGTGGCGATAATGAACCTGAACCCTTGTTGGCAACCTCCCGTTCAACTCAAACAAGACGACGAAGAAGAAAAAGCGACGAGCTAACTTTGCTAGCTAGCTATCCTCCGCCGACTGACCTCCGCCCGCCGCTCCCGCAACATGGCATGTGTTCGATCCCTCGGCGTTCTCTCCAAGTTGACACTCAGGAGATACGGTGCAGCGCCAGGTAAAACACAACGAGAAAATGGGTTTCATATATCTTTTGTAAGAAGTTATGTTAGGCTGACTGTCTTGAGTTTGACTGGAAAGCGCCAACTAGTTGTACGGAAGGCGTGCTTATGTATTAAATAAGGTTGCGAGCACTTCACTCCATTTACCAGTCGCATTTTACCCTCGCTTAACAGGCACTTCTTTTCAAAGTGTGACTCGTGAATGTGGATTAATGCTAATGATCAGCGACTATTATACAGCGGCGCCAATAAAAGACGATGTTCAAAATAGGTCATTCTCCTGTCGATAAAAAAAAAAAAACTGTCAATTTGCTCAGATTTTGGATCATTTTAGTCTTGTCAACTTGCCATTGTAGTGGTTCCGATTAGACGTCTGACGTCTCGAATGTGGGTGAAGGGTCATTCATAACTCCAGGTTGAAGTGGGAGCCCCTTGAGGTCACTCAAGTCCTCTGAGGGCCATGTGACAAAATATATGAAAAATATGTGTCATCCCCCAATGCAAATGTTGCCACACTATGACTGTTGGTATGGCTTTTATGACATTTCTCTGACCTGCCGCTGTGCCAAGACTCTTGTATTTTGTATCTTGTATCAATTTTTTTTTTTTGCTACACAGGAACTACCTTTCGAACCTTCTCAGTGGCCACACCGATGTTAGGTAAACTTTAAATTCTCTTAACCTGTCCTGTCATGCAATACAGTTTTTTTTCCTGTGTGACATGAAAGTTTTGATGTAAAGTGATCACCAGGTTTTCATGGGACCAAGCTCTGCACAAAACGCAAAAAAAAAGCAAATAATGGTCTCGCAACATTTATATTATTTGTTCTTCATACTTGATGGTTTAAACCCAACATATCCCACAAGCTATCATCCTAAACCATTTATTATAATAATAACAAACATCAAAATCATCACAATCAGAAACGTGTGTATTTTCAATATTCCCAGCAGGGATCAGTCGCGACTTCCTACGTGTAGTGACAATTGACTGTATAATTGTCTCACGGTGCATTATCTCCCTTTCTCCTAAGCCCGAACACATGTCAGTTATGAAGTCAAGAACGACGTTGCTGTGGTTCGAATCAACGACCCCAATTCCAAGGTAAAGCACAACAACTTTTCACGCAGTGTCGAAAGGCAGTGAGGAATGAAAATGAAAGCTTTCTCGTGCGCTCTATAAAGATTTTCTGGTGCATCCTGGAAACGTTTTCTTTTTTTTTTTGGGGGGGGCAAATCCCCCGGCCTTCCTATGCATACGGGATAATTCTTTATGTGGGGTCGGTAGTACGTATTCAACATGTTCCGTTGCATGATAAGATGAGACGATGGCAGTCGAACAGGACTTAATCGCCCGATATTAACGATTTTAAAATCAGCAAAAAAATTGGAGATTTTTGACAACTGTTTATTTGTTTTTTTACAACACATTACAACATAAGACAAAGCTCATGAACCCCGTCCCCCACCCCCATTGTAAATCAGCTACATATTTCATTGATTTATTTGATTTTATTTTGTTAAAAAAGAAAAAAAAAAAGAACAGTCAATAATCCTCCTTCCATCCAGGTCAATACACTGTCGGTCCAAATGGAAAAGGAGCTGACGGAAGTAATGAACGAGGTGTGGGCAGACAATGCCGTTCAGAGCGCCGTCCTCATCTCCTCCAAGCCGGGATGTTTCATTGCGGGAGCCGATATCGAGTAAGAGGGCTCCCGGTCACAGCGGAACCTCCAAAGTCCAGCACGTTTTGAACTGTTTTACTTTAATCGTCCCATCTTTCTTCCCCCCGCGCCCCACCCAATCAATCAATCAACCACGTTTCGGCCACAGTATGATCCAGGGCTGCAGCAACGTTGAGGAGGTCACAGCACTCTCGCAGAAAGGCCAGAAAATGTTGGAGAGGATCGAAAAGTCCCCAAAGCCCATCGTGGCTGCCATCAATGGCTCGTGCTTGGGAGGAGGCTTAGAGGTCAGCCAAACATCTCGCTGTCACACTCAACTTCATTTGATTTGTGTTTTTTACAGCATCACCTGGTTACCCGTCTTGTGTTCTCTTCTTGTCAATCCAGTTTGCCATCGCGTGCCAGTACAGGATCGCGACAAAAAGCAAGAAAACGGTGCTGGGCACGCCGGAAGTCATGCTGGGTCTTCTGCCGGGAGCCGGTGGCACGCAGAGACTCCCCAAGATGGTGGGTTTTTTTTCAGCAAATGGCTTTCATCGGGTCCCACAGAAAATACTTTCAGGAAAAAAAAAAGTGATTGTTCACATGAGTTGTTTGCTTTTCCTTCTTCTAGCTGGGTCTGCCCAACGCCTTTGACATGATGCTGACGGGGCGAAACATCCGAGCGGACAAAGCCAAGAAGATGGGCCTCGTCGACCAGCTTGTAGACCCCCTTGGTAACTTAAATGATTAAAATCATGTTGGTAGGCTACCGGTTAGTGATTAAGACTGAACCGCAGGCATGATGGGCACTCCCAGACCCCGTTGAGCGCTGAGTTTATGGCCGTTTGTCACTTGGGGTGAATCCAAGCCACTTGCTCTTTTGACTTGAAGTGTATTTGACTCGGCAACATCTGAAGATAGCTCATGTAACATCATTGGTGTTATTTTTGGCTTGTTTGCAGGAAAGTTGCGTCACTCATAACGGCAGTAAAATGACGTCAACGCCTTTGACTTGATGTTTACCCGCCTTTTAATTATAAAGTATCTTTTTAATGTCAATGAACATTGTGAATGACTTAAAAATGACTGCATCAATGAACGAAACCATACAACCATATTTATATTGGGTGAACATATTTGTCTACTTTTGCTATTAACAAGAGTATGAAAAAATGTTTTTTTTTGTACATTTACAGCAGATAAAAAATTTGCGACGAAGCGCAAGTTAACTCTGGAAATCATGCGATTAACTAGGATTCAAAATTTTAATCGACTGACAGCCATGCAGTATTTTCGCGTATATGCATCTATGCGTCCGACGTGGGCATGAAATGTGCTGTAAGTTGCCCGAAAAAAAATGATGACATTTGATCGCCGCTACCAACAGCGACCTTGATGTCAAAAGCTGTCCCCCTGAACAGGCCCGGGTCTGAAGAGCCCCGAGGAGAGGACCATCGACTACCTGGAGGAGGTTGCCGTGGAATGTGCGAGAGGCATCGTGGGCAAGAAGATTCCTCTGCGCAAGGAGAAGGGCACCATGCAGAGTAGGTCGGAGCCATCCGTCTGCTCCGGGACTTGAATCGGTTTTGACGGTCTCCTTCGCAGAGATCCAAGACTACGTGATGAGCTTTGAGATGGTGCGCAACCAGATTTACAAGACGGTCCACGGGAAAGTCATGAAGCAGAGCAAGGGGCTTTATCCGGCGCCCCTCAAGATCATTGAGGTAAGTCCTCGTCTTCGTCATGACATTTGACCTTAACTTCAATTCGACTCTATTGTTTTGTGACTTTCAGTGTGTGAAGACCGGCGTGGAGCAAGGTCCCGTTGCTGGATACCTGGCAGAGTCCCAGGTAAGATCCGCCTTTTGACAAGCAGTGCAGTCGAACCTCCATCAAGGCTGAACGGATGCGATTGAAATAGTCTTCTTCGTCCGGTTGCGTCTCGCTCAGGAGCGTGGATGTCAAACTTGCGGATGCCAAGCAAAGAAAATAGAAATAGAGTGATCCCTCGCTATATCGCGCTTCATTTATCATGGCTTCACTACATCGCATAAAAAAGTACTGCATTCAGGGGAAAAAAATGACTTTGGTCCTATTCGTCAACACAAAGTCAAATCTTAATTGTACAAAGTTTTGCAAAATCCTGCTACTGAACAAAAACAGACGACGACAACAAAAGCGTAATGTCCTTGGCGGAAGTCACACTGTACTCACGATCATAACGGCTTCACGTTGACTCTCCCTCCACAGAACTTCGGACACTTGGGCAAAACCGCCGAGTCTGCGGCCCTCATTGGACTCTATCATGGTCAGGTCGCGTGCAAAAAGAACCGCTTTGGGAGCCCTGCAAAGGAAGTCAAGTATGTCACTCGGCAGCCGTCTTTGTAGTACCCTATCCAAGTAAGAACTGAATGGTTTCTCTGTTACCAGAACTCTCGGAATTTTGGGCGCTGGCCTGATGGGAGCGGGCATTGCCCAGGTGACGGTGGACAAAGGCGTGCACACCATCCTGAAGGATACCACCGAGGCCGGGCTGGCCCGCGGTGAGCAGCAGGTGTACAAGGGGTGCGTTTTTTTCTTTATTAATTTTTTTTAAGCAGTTCTCGTTTCAAAATTATATGTATGATTTCAGGAAAAAAAGTGGTGAGATTTTTTTGCCGCACCCTGTATTTGATTAAGGAAAACTGCACCGGAAGGTGAAATGCACAAGAGTCTATAAATTCCATAAACCACCCATGCTAAATTTAGCTCATCCGCCAACATACAAAAGTTATCTCGCAGTTGAGCTTTATCACTTCATCTTACTTCCTTGACACCAATGACTGGACAAGCAGCACCTTGAGGCATCTTATATCGGTTCCACTGTGGGATAAAATGCCAGGAGGTGAATTTGTGAATGGTGTAAATATGGGGATTGACTTCGTTATTCATTCATTCATTCATTTTCCGAACCGCTTGATCCTCACTAGGGTCGCGGGGGGGGTGCTGGAGCCTATCCCAGCCGTCTTCGGGCAGTAGGCGGGGGACACCCTGAATCGGTTGCCAGCCAATCGCAGGGCACACAGAGACGAACAACCATCCACGCTCACATTCACACCTAGGGACAATTTAGAGCATTCAATCAGCCTACCATGCATGTTTTTGGAATGTGGGAGGAAACCGGAGTACCCGGAGAAAACCCACGCAGGCCCGGGGAGAACATGCAAACTCCACACAGGGAGGCCGGAGCTGGATTCAAACCCGGTACCTCTGCACTGTGAAGTCGACGTGCTAACCACTGGACTACCGGGCCGCCGACTTAGTTATTGTCATTTGATTTTTGTCTTAGACGAAGAGGGAGGGAAATCAACTTTTTAGGGGGAGGAAAAATGACACTTTGCTTGAAGGCCGTACTATCCAGCTTTGAGGTGGTTGGCTTTTTTTTTTTTTTTTTTTTTTTTTAGTTTGTCATTGCTGAATCCATTTGATTCATCAGGCTGAACGACAAGACCAAGAAGAGGAACATCACGTCCTTCGAGAGGGACTCCATTTTGTCCAACCTGACTGGCGCGCTGGACTACAGCGGCTTCGAGAAGGCCGACATGGTGATCGAGGCCGTGTTTGAAGACCTCAAGGTCAAACACGCCGTCCTCAAGGAGGTCGAAGCGGTGAGTACAACTCACAAACGCGTGCTTTTTAAGAAATGTGCGTCCAAGCAAGATCTGCCGCTGTAACCCCTCAGTGGGGGGCGGGGGGGGGGGGCGTTTTTAACTAGCTGAGACATCTGCTTGCACGGCTCGGTAAGTGCTGCTGTTTTGGCTCGCAAATGAGTTGTATTTGAACCTCCCCGCTCAAGGTGATTCCTCCTCACTGCATCTTCGCCACCAACACATCAGCTCTTCCCATCAAGGACATTGCCGCAGCTAGCAAGAGGCCTGACAAGGTTTGGTCCACTTGTTCCTCTCTCTTTTTTTTTTTTTTGAACAAGGAAAAAAAAAACCTTCTCTTGCTCATTGTTACCCCTCAGGTCATCGGCATGCACTACTTTTCCCCAGTGGACAAGATGCAGCTCCTGGAGATCATTACCACCGAGAAGACCTCCAAGGACACCACGGCGTCGGCGGTGGCCGTGGGGCTCAAGCAGGGCAAAGTCATAATCGTGGTCGGGGTGAGACTTTCGCTTAATTCAGCAGCAGCATTTAAAAAAAAAAACACGAATGCACAGCCATTCCATCTAAGCGACTGTATGTGTGCAGGATGGGCCCGGATTCTACACCACTCGCTGTTTGGCGCCCATGTTGGCTGAAGCTGTGCGAGTTTTTCAGGTTTGTTGCGTTCAAGTATCAAGCCTTGCTCAAGGGCTGTCATGATTTTTTTATGTTTGTTTAAATCCTTCCTGTATTTACTTGCTTTATTTATTATAATATATTCTGCTAATAGCGCACAAATCTGCCTATAATTGAGGATCATTATAGCTGCCACGGGGCAGCTATAAAAGCTTCCCCGTGGCAGCTTTAATGACGCCCCCCCCCCCAAAAAAAAAGCTGCAACTAACCGTGACAGATTGGATATGAAGTACCCTTTTTTTTATCAAATATTTGATTGTTCAAAAAAATCTAGCTTTATTTCTTGTAGGATTACAACTTTTTTCTTTCAAAGTGTAAAATTGTGTCTTTTTTAAATGTTTTATTTTATTTTTTTTGCCAACTTGTAATCTGACTATGATCAAATATACTGCTTTTCTCCATGAGGATTGGCTTCTTTTCTCAAATAAATGATTTAAAAGTATTGAAAAGAATTTCGGCGTGCCATCATTGCAGGAAGGGGTGGACCCCAAGAAACTGGACGCCCTCACCACCAGCTTCGGCTTCCCCGTGGGCGCCGCCACGCTGATCGACGAGGTGGGCATCGACGTGGCCGCCCACGTGGCCGAGGACCTGGGCAAGGCCTTTGGCTCGCGTTTTGGCGGCGGCGACGTGGAGGTCCTGAAGACACTGGTGGACTTGGGATTCAAGGGTGAGCCGCGATGCAGTCAATACTTGATTCTTGCAGTATTTCTCATTTCTTCACACTTTCTCAAAAATGTATGACATTGACTTTTTTTTCCTCACAAAATTGTATGTATATTCTCAAATATCGAACTTTATTCTACTATGATTATAATTGAGTTTTCATTAGATTAAGACTTTTTAAACAGTTTACATTAAAAAAAAAGACGATTGTATGAGGGTTTTTTTTTCTAAAAAATAAGACTTATTCTCAGGATTACTATGTATTTTCTCAATTTGGCAACTTTAAAAAATTTTCATTCAATGTGATTTTATCCTCATCAGATTTCTGCCTTTATTTCTCAAATATAAAACATTTTTCTGAATTTTTAATTTGATATTTTAGGGGATTTTTTTTTCTTTCTGTTTTTAGGTCGTAAATCAGGAAAGGGCTGCTACGTGTACCAACCGGGCCTGAAATCAAAAGAAGTCAATCCGGAGATCGGGGAAATCCTGGAGAAATACAAAATCGCTCCCAATCCCGCTGTGTGAGTTGACACTCGCCATTTAAATGACTGATCTGCGATTGCATTCTGATAAGTGTCTTTCGTTTAATTCCAAATCTTTCTTCAGTTCATCCGACTACGACGTCCAATATCGACTTGTTTCTCGCTTTGTCAACGAAGCGGTGCTCTGTTTACAAGAAGGCATCTTGAACAGTCCTCTGGAGGGAGACATCGGAGCTGTTTTCGGCCTGGGCTTCCCCCCTTGCCTTGGAGGTCAGACTTTGGCTTATTATATTGTGACACGATCTTTTAACTGGACATGCTTTAGAAAACGGCACCCAAATTTCAAGTGCCCGGCCACCCATCCTGTAAACACGCTTATATCTCCAATTAATAAGCCTTCGCGTCTCCATCCGGTCTTCCAGGCCCGTTCCGCTTCGTGGATACCTTTGGCGCCGACAAGCTGGTGAAGAAGATGCAGCGGTACGAAGCCGTTTACGGGGATCACTTTACACCGTGCCAGCTCCTCCTAGATCACGCCAGCGACGCCACAAAGAAGTTTCACAAGTGAGCCGCTCGTCGCGTTTGGCTTGGCGGCACTCAACACGTCTGCAGTCGACTACATCAAAAATGTGCCTCATGACAATTTGATTTTTCCTAGATCAGCACACACAGTTGGTGAGGGTATGATGTTGTATGTGCATTAAAATATTCCAAAAGAATATACTAATTCATGACGGAATGTCCCAGTATGGTAGTGTTTGTTTGTTTTTTTTGTACATTAAAAGATGTTATTGGTGGATCATGCAAATGTAGGGCCTGAAATAAAATTTTGTTTATGAATCAAAGGCTTGGATATGTTTCACACCTAGCCTCACATATGATGGAGCGAAAACAGGACATAGGTTTGAATGATTCAATAAATCATCAATTTTAATTGTAATCTGCAACTGGGAGGATCTCCAACTCTGGCCTTCAATAACTAAAATATTGATGAACCCGGATAATCTGTTTTGGGCGGTGAAAAAGGTAGGAAAAAAATCATTTGTGTTATGGACAATAACTTGTGATTTTCATCTCTATGCATTTTATTTAGTTGTACATTTTTGAGTCAAGAATTTTCGGGCGGAAGCTGGTAAAATCAAATTACAGGAGTGTTGGAAAGCACGTTCGTTCCGATATGGCGTAGTTGTCGCGGTGTCCCTAATGAACTGCACGGCTCGTGTTGTGACGTGATTGGTCGTGGGCGCGTCACGTGGGTTTTCCTCGCCTGCCATTGTCTGTCGTCATCCTCATTAGGGCGTGTGCTGGAGCTGCTGCTGTTGACTCGGGCGTTTTGTCCTCCTGCCAGCCGGGATGCGGAGCCTGTGTCGCGGCTACATCCGCGCGCCTTCACCGTGACGTGCGCGGATGAATCGAAGCGTGGAAAAAAAAAAGACAAAGAGGGAGAGAGGGCGTGGTCCTCTGTATTTTTAGCCATGTCCAACAAGGGGAAGGCGTGCGAGTCGGTCCGGGTGGTGGTCCGCTGCCGTCCGCCCAGCAACAAGGAGGCGACGGCCGATAAGGGGAGCTCCATCCTGGAAGTGGACGCCGAGTTGGGCCGCATCTGCGTCCGTAACCCGAGCGCTCTACCCGGCGAGCCTGCCAAAGAGTTCACCTTCCACTCGGTGTTCGGCTGGGGCTCCACCCAGTGCGAGGTGTACGACGACGCCGTCAGGCCCCTGGTGGACTCGGTTCTGCTGGGCTTCAATGGCACGGTTTTCGCCTACGGCCAGACCGGGACGGGGAAGACGTGGACCATGAGGGGGGTGCCGGCCGATACGGAGAAGCGGGGCGTCATCCCCAACGCCTTCCATCACATCTTCGCACACATCTCGCGCAGCCGGGGACAAAAGTACCTGGTCCGGTCCTCTTACTTGGAGATCTACCAAGAAGAGATCCGAGACCTGCTAAGTAAGGATACTTGGAAAAAAAAAATACACACGGTGCGGCAACACATGTAGACAATATTATAATAATAATAATAATAATACTTAGAGGCATATGTATTTTTTATCTGCTATGACAGGGAAGTAAATGATTCCGAAAACAGTGACTGCGTTGTTTTTATAGAGTGGACCAGTTCCTTTCAAGACTCCACTGGAAATATCTTTGTAGTAGTGAGGGAGACAAACCAATAAATGTAGCTGTGACAAATCAAGGTAATTTTTTTCAGTGGAAAGCGGCAGGAAACTGGAGCTGAAGGAGAGTCCTGAGGAAGGCGTCTACGTCAAGGACCTGTCTTGGGTGGTCACCAAGGACCCGGCGGAGATGCACCACCTGCTGACGCTAGGCGACCGTTGCCGCTCGGTGGGCTCTACCGACGCCAACCGCCGGAGCTCGCGCTCGCACGCCATCTTCGCCGTGACGGTGGAATGCGGGTCCGAGTCCGAGGACCCGGTACGCGTGGGGCGCCTCAACATGGTGGACCTGGCTGGGAGCGAGCGCCAAAGTCGGACCGGCGCCAGGGGCGGCCGCCTGCGCGAGGCAGCCAAGATCAACCTGTCGCTGTCCGCCTTGGGGAACGTCATCTCGGCGCTGGCGGACGGCAAGGGGGGCCACGTGCCCTACAGGGACTCCAAACTCACCCGGCTCCTGCGGGACTCACTGGGCGGCAACTCCAAGACGGTCATGATCGCCACGGTGGGGCCCTCGGAGCGGGACCGGCACGAGTCCCTGGCCACCCTGCGGTACGCCGGCCGGGCCAAGAACATCAAGAACAAGCCCCGTGTCAACGAGGACCCCGAGGCTGCCCTCCTCAGGGACTTCCAGAGGGAGATCGCCAGGCTCAAGGCCCTCCTGGAGGAGCGAGGCGCCCTAGCCAGGGAGCGACGACAGCGGCGGCGGGACAGCAAGAGACTCAGCAGGGACCTCGCGCAACTGTGGAAGGATGATGAGGGAGAAGCTGGCGAGGGGCCCCCAATGAAGTGGCGCCACTCCAGCGGGAAAACGGATGATGGCCAGTGGGATCAGGAGGCCGTGGAGAAGATCATTGAGAAGTACAAGGTAGACTAAAGAAAGGATGGCTAAAATCCACCGTTGATTTACCCGAAAATGATTCATAGTTGCATATAGATGCCACCAAGTGGCGACAAACCATTTGAAATACTGTATTGGGGTCATAAAGCATCAACATCATACATCTTGCATGTACAGTCGTGGTTCATCTTATCGCAGTTCACTTTTTAATTTTTTTTCTTTAAAATATGAATCTTTTGTTTTGGAAAATCGATTTTTTTTTTTTGGTGGGGAGGTTGTTTTGTTTTAATAACCGTTTTTTTTTTCTGTTTTCTGAATATTTCATTTCCCTTTCTTTTCGGGTATTCAAACATTTTCAGAAAACCAGTAAAAAATGTCTTAAAAACAGAAACATAAATAAATAAATACATAGCAGGAAAAACTGAAATAACATATTCTATAAAACAGAAAGTAAAGCAATTATTCTAAAATACAAAAAAAACAACTGGAGGGTTTTTTTTGGTTCCCCAATTATTATATTTTTAAATTAGTATATTCCTCCCTTTTTTTTTTTTTTTGTATGACTGTTTGTGTTGCCCCAAGAGTTACTTAAGGATTTGTTTGCGGCCAGGCCATGGAGAGCAAATTACTGGAGGGAGGCAAGACCATCATGGATCACACCAACGAGCAGCAGAAGTTGCTGGAACAGAAGCGTCAGGAGATCGCCGAGCAGGTGAGAAAACTTCTCATTACAACGTCGGCCGGCGACTGGAGCCAGTGACCGTGCCAGCGTTTTTCCGAAGATCCGCCGGGAGCGGGAGATGCAGCAGCAGGTGACGCTGCAGGACGAGGAGACGCTGGAGATGAGGGAGACCTTCTCCTCGCTGCAGCAAGAAGTGGAGATGAAGACCAAGAAGCTGAGGAAGGTCAGAACGCTCGCGAACCGCCAGCGGGAGACGTCATTCGCGAGACGATTGAAGTCTGTACAAGGCAAAAAGTCGTCGTACTCACGAGGGCTGAAAGTTACGTGCCAGAAAAATAATGCCCCAAAAATGTTTTTTCTCGAGAAAACAGATTGTTTTTCCTTTAAAATGTATTTTTCATGAAAAATATATTTATATCCAACAACACACTCCATGTTTCCTCTAAAGATTACCAAATGTATCACATATTATTGATTTTTTTTTTTTAACTCCAAAATGTACAGCATTTTTTTCCCCCACAAATATAACAATTTTCCCTCCAAAAATGAACCTTCCTTTCCTTGTTTTTCCCCATCCAGAATCCATTGGTTGATTTCGTGCTTACTGTCAATGCGGGTCTTTTACTTTACGTTTATGTTGTTTCGTGTGGCCCCCGCCTTTTTAGCTGTACGCTAAACTGCAGCTGGTTTGGGCCGAGATGCGCGACGTGATGGATGAGCACGTGGCAACCCGGCAGGAACTCGAGCAGACGCAGGATGAACTCACCCGAGAGCTCAAGTACAAGTGAGAACAGTCTTGTCTTGTTGCCCTGAAATGAGCACAACCTCATCTGTAGTGTGTATAGTGAAAAAAATACATCCGTGCATATTTTCAGATCCCTCCTGATGGAGAATTTCGTCCCTCCTGCTGAAAAGAAGAAGATGATCGACAGACTTCACTTTGATGACGAGGAAGATCAGTGGGGGCTCATGTCGGTTATCCCATCGGAAAGGTACGATCGGGGGGAAAAAAAAAACAAAACATCCTATGCTGGATGCAAATGTGGATGCGACCGTGCTGGATGCGGATGCGACTGTGCTGGATGTATGGAACCATTTACAGTTCACCAATAAACCGTGTTATGGAAAAAAAAAATAAAAAAAAACATGATTTGCCCGTGCCGGTTGTGACAGTGCCAGTTGCAGATTGTGACTCCATAATAAGGATCGTATGACTTACAAATAAAACATGATAACATTTTGCGACGGTTTGTACGATTGTGTTGTGGGAAAAAAAAAACTGCAGAGGGAGGGGCATTGACTTACTCGCCATACTCCCCATGTGTATGCTAGCACGGCCACTCGGGTGAAGCGAAGACCCCTCTCTGCCGTGGGATACAAGCGTCCAATCAGCCAGTATGCCCAAGCTGCCGTCGCTACGGCAACCGGGGCCCCATCCAGATATCAGGTCAGCGCCCGCAGTAACAAAATATGAAGTATAATATCATATGACGGTCCCTTGAGATACGAGTTTCATTTATTCCACGACACTCGTATCGGCCATAAATCCGTTCAATGCTTCCCCACAAAAAAAAAAAAAAACAAAAATAAAACAATTTTGGTCATGTGTATTGTAATGAGAGAAAAAACAGTCTGTGTTATTGTACTTACTGAAAACATACAGTTGTGACTTCAATTCAATGGACATTTTGCTGCTCCTTTTGGTGTGTGCGTGTGTGTTACCAGGCTGAAAACATCATGCTCCTGGAGCTGGACGTGTCTCCGCCCAGCATGTTCACCCTCAACCTTCACGGATCTCGACTGGAGAGGGTCTTTTCCCCCAGCTTGATGCCGGACCCCCGCTCAGATGTCATCATGCGGGAAAGGACCCGGTCGTCGGTGCGGCTCAGGAAGTCCCGATCCTGGTGAGACCAGTGTTCCAAATGGTTCCTGTGCAATAAGCTCATTCTGATCAAAGAAGTTGCGATGGAATGCCAATAAAAAAGAGACAAAAATACCTCATTATTGTAAAGAATTGGTCAGTTCATTGGAATGAAATAATTATACTTTTTTTTTGAGCATTCCAGGTATCAGGCCCCACAAGCGGCGTGCGTTTCAGCATCCGTGTCATCCACCGCTCTGATGTCACTCTCTCAGGGTCTGGGTCATAGACCCAGACCGTCCTCGGCCGTCTGTGTCGCACCCGAGGCGTCTCTTCGAACCAGTCCCTGAGTAGGACATGGCTCCGGACTGCCACAGTCACTTGGCGTGGGACAACAACGACGCCACTAAGCATGAGGACCTGCTACAGTAACTGCTGCTTTCCAGCAAAGCGAATGTTAGCAAAAAGCACAGCCAACGCTTTCGTGTTTGAGCATTTCATTTGCATTTTTGGGGAGTATTGGTGGTGGTGACATGTGTCGCTTGCTACTGTAACTGTGAGGAAAATATGGTTTACATGAGAAAGGCTTGCACAGGCTATTTAGCTGCCTTATTTTTTTATATTGACGACATTGTGACAAGTGAATTGAATGTACTGTGCTTCAATGTGAAAATAAAGATTTTGGGGCCGGGGGGAAAACAGCACTTTTTCAAATGTGCTTTCAATTAAAAAATAAATCAATACAGTATTGTAAAAATTGAATTATTTTGTAATGCCAAAAGAATACACACACACACACACACAGATAGAAATACTGTACATACATATACAATACATATGTCACGCACATTCCAAAAGTTTATATGTAGGGCAAATACTGCTTCTTTTTATTGTCTTTTTATTCAGTGAGCGATTGATACATTTGATAAGATTCTGAATCATTATAATCAATTAATTTATTTCGCATTGGTTATTTTACCGTGACCGACTACTCTCATTGCTATTTTTATTTTACCCGCAAATCTCGCGCGAGCAGGTGCCCAAAGTGACAGTTGTACAGTGTGATGACGTCACAGCGACGGCGGCAGTCACGTGATTCCACCCCTCTCGCCTCTTTTACAGTAAAATCCAACATGGCGAACATAGCAGGGCCTACGCGGCGATGGCGGCGACATTATCTCACCTGAAGACGAGCGTTGCACAACAACAACGACGACGAGGACGACGATGAGGGAGCGACAGAAAAAGAAGAAAGGAAGGACGTGGGCGGAAGCCGCGAAGACGGTACTAATATGTCATGCGTGGCCCTCCAACGCGCCCACTTGAGTGACACTTGTGAAACAACGTTCACTCACTGCAGGGCCCTTGTGTGTGATATTTCCCGGCTGTCACCATAGACTCGGTCAATAAAGTTGTTCGTTCACGTAACGCGAACTACGTTCGTGTGTCGAGGACTTGAGTCGACTTACGGCGCGAGGGGCGCGGGAGCTAACCCAGCTAGCCTCGTAAACTACAACGAAGTTTTGTCACGTGAACACGCCACAAAAACACATTAAAACACACTTTCATGTATAATTTAATGCTGGTAATGTCCTTGTTTTGAATGCAATAGTGACACAAGATCCCCGCAACATTGCTCTCGACAGTTAGCTTGGTGTGCTAATGAAGTCATAAAACAGCTGTTTACATTTCGTGTCGGACTTTCTCAGTGTTCGATCAAGTTATTATCAAGTACTGACACTAGATTTGCAAAGACAGAATCTCGGCTGCACAGACCGTTCAAGTTGGATTTTTGCATGATGCCAAACAATATTACATCACCCACAGTAAAGCGAGAAATTCAAACAAGTGAATTGATTGTTCATCATCACGTGATCGATCGTCGCTTGTCTGCCTTGTTGGAGGTGTAGAGAGATTAGTGGTCCAGAGCCAACTCTTCGAGCTTGTCCTTTTTCGCGTTAGATGTGCTAAGATGAGTGTTATAAAATCGACAGAATATAGAGAAGCGTATCGGCAAAGCCGACAGACAAAGTGGGCATTATAAACAAGTAGAATCCTGATACAATTTAAATAGAACTGTTTTGGGGTTAAATGTTACAGTTTTTTTAAAGGAATTGAGTGGGAATGCGCAAGACGAAAACTAACATGTAATTTATGCCCCGTTCCATTTGTTATTTTGCGAATACAGTATTGAGAGGAGACCCACCGTGACTTGACGTCATATGAGAGCGTCTGGCTCAGAACTGTCTGTCAACAAAAGTGATCGTAGACAGATTCCTGATTGAGCTTTCGTGATTTCGAAGAACTCTGGTCACGATCGTGCATGCCGACCTGCCATGAAAAGGAGACGGCAAATAAAATTGTGTTTGTTTAGAATACTGTCGGAGAACTGGAGACCACCGCAATGTTCTCCGTCTGTCTGGGAACATAGGTGCGTTCCAGCGTCAATATTCGCTTCTTCTATTAATTTTAGAAATACTTCAATTTCTTCATGCCCCCAAACATACTCTGCTTTATTCGTCCGCCACCACTTTTTATTGTGATTTTTTTTTTTTCTGTCTGTCACTGTCTACAATATCTGTGTAACCACATTACCGTTTATAAATGTACATCACGTCATCCATGTTTTACGACTGTTTTCAGGTGCTGGAGAAATACCCCAACACCCCCATGAGCCATAAAGAAATCTTGCAGGTGATCCAAAGAGAACGACTCAAAGAGATAAGGTAAAAAAAAAAAAAAAAAACAACAGCAGCAGCAACAACAAAAACCAACACAATTTCTGTTTTCACCACTGTCTCCTATATCGTCACGTCATCTGATTGCTTACATTTCCTGTCATCTCCAATACTCTCCTAATTGTTTTCATTTCTTTTTTTTTTTCTGTATCATTGTCACTGTTTTCATCTAGAAGGTAAGAACAAGCTTGACCTCACCACCCCACTCACCCACATATCTAACAAACTCACTCTTTGGGATTACTTTTACTCACATTGTGTCCTATATTTGATTGCACGCAGAACCACAATGTTAATCATTAAACAAAATGTGCCAGTCTGTTTTTTTTCAGTAGGTCATTGCAACTAAATGCATTGTACTTGGTTAAAAAAAAAATTGAAGCCATGAAGCAGAGTTTAAACATTTAATTCAGTGACTGTTTTAAATACTACCACAAGATGGAGCCTGCGTAACACTCGCGGCCATTAAAACCCACTTCAAGGAAAAGCACTTGGGAAGTAAATCCTTCAGGTAGTTCTAATCAAGTAAATTGTCAACTCATCTATCATGGTAGCATTTTGTTTTCTTAATACCATAATTGCTGAAGTCAAAAGATTTTTGGAAAACAAGAAATAAAACCACAACAAATAAAGCAAACAAGAGTCCAGTTGCCATGAATCAACCTTTGTGGATTACCGTGACCTGCATGATTGATAATCTACAGAGACATTAAAGGAAAACAATATTTTAGTAAGCATGTTGCAGGGTTATAATAGTTTGGGATTTTTCATGATCATTTTTATTTTGTTTGACTTCAAACAAAATCAGTTTGAGTTTAGTTTTTTTTTTTTGTAACAGTTTGTTGATGTTCATTAGTTTAGTTTAAAAAAATGCTTTTAATGCTGCTAATAAAATAAACTACAATTTCCAAATTAACTGTTCAACATTGCTTCTGTATGGCTGAACGGTTAATACTGAAATAAATACATTTAAAATGAACCCTGCAAGTATGATGATAAAATGAAAACAAATTACATTTTTGCAACAATTATAGTTAGTTTTTGAAAGTTTTGCAAACATAAAATGTATTTTCATTTTTTTTAAACACGTTTTGTTTTTATATCGTGAACAAAAATGTTTTTTTTTTCAATTTTAGTTTTATCGTTAGCTAAAATAATAAAGTTGTTATGTGTTGCTCTTGTGGCAGTGTGCTAAAAACAATTAAGTGAGCTCACGTACACGGCTAACAATTTCCTCCCTCCTCATTGACGGACGCAGCGGAACGTCGCCGTTAGCATGTCTGAATGCCATGTTGCACACAAACTCCCGCGGCGAGGAGGGCATCTTCTACAAAGTTCCGGGCAGGATGGGTGTCTACACCTTGAAGGTCAGTTTGAACAACTGGACACAAGCAGGAAAAAAAAAAAAAATCAGCGGGCCGCAACTAACTTGTGTGTTTTTGAAGAAGGACATCTCCGAGGTGGCCACCGAGTTGTCGAAGGAAGAATCCGAAGAGAGCAGCGACAACCTGTCCGACTCGCGAAGCTCGGAAAACAACAGCGGCCCTTGGGAAGGCAGGAGGAGACGCTGGATGCGACCAGGTAACGACGCGCAGTCCGAAGAGCCAGTCAGCTGACACCGACATAATCACCTGAGTTCCGAGGCAACTCGATCAAAAGTTTGGAGTCGTGTGAAAGTTGGAAGGCGGTCCCAGATATGGAGTGCACTTGAGGCCTTGTTGTTTGGGGGACACTACTCGCAAACAATTGATCCATACCGTTGTCATTATTATCGATTTTCATCTTTTAATTATTGAATGCACGCCAAACTATGATCCCAAAACACTAATATGATTTCAAACTAATTTTAAAACATTACGCAGAGAAATGAACGGCTTAATTTGATTTGAAAAAAAAATCTCTTTTGTTCTCTCTTTCTCGCTCACGTTAGAAAATGTTTTAATGGTTTCCGGAAGTTAGCGCAGTTGAAAACGGATCTCTTTTCTGCCGTCAGATTTTTTTTAACAAGGCCAATTTGATAATTGGTCCATCCCTTGTCAAATGACCAAAAACTTGGCTTCTTGAGACTATTTTGTTGGCCTACGCACGATCGACATAAGGGTTGTAACGATACAGCAAAATGAAGCTTCAACTGGTATCTCAATTACTTACATATTGATATATGATATTATATATTAACTGAAATATTTTTCAATAGTGGCTGTATTGACAAAAAAAAAAAAGACGCTGTAAATTCAGTTGTGTTTGAAATGTAAATGGCGGCATTTCTGTGTTCTACTGGATTTACTAGAAAATAGGTCTCCCGAGATTATTCCGGACAATGGTCCCACTGAGCATTTTTACTTATCATTACTCTCAGCGGGGTAATCCCATCGGCGCGTCTTTTGTGCTCCCGCCGTGGTTTCAGTTTCATCCAAACAAAAGAGCGCCGTGCTTTACCGTGGGCGCGCCGCCCTCAGGAAGTGTATTTTGTAACATCTGCGTTTTGTGTCTCAACAGTTCCCTCCAAGCTGCTGTCGCAGCAGCAGCCGACGTCGCCGCAGCCCCGCTGCTCGTCTCCGTCCGTCGCCGCCGCCAAGCTCATCTCGCCCTCGCAAAAGCACAGCAAGAAAGCCCTCAAACAGGTAAGAGGATGAGTGTGTGTTCGACACGATTCCAGTGTTTAGTGCACCTGATGATGGTGTCAAGAGCTGACTCTTGAAAACTTGATTTTTTTTTGGGGGGGGGGTGATGTTATTATTGCTGTTATTGTTGTCACTGTAGCAGCAGCAAAAACACGCTAATATTCAGAGGTGAGCATTCGCCACTGTGTGAGTCTGTAAGTGAGCTTTCGTTAATGTTTTGGGCCCGCCCAGCCGGTCAAAGTCAACCATACGGCGTCGAGAACACATTTACCGGTACCACGTCACAAGCTGCTGCCACACACCTGACACGCAGCGAAATAAATAAAAAAAATAAAATAGTTTTTATTCCCTTTTGGTCCCACAGACCCCAATGACATGTGTCCGCGTTGTTTTTATTTCACCCATCGCTGCACTGTATGTGTGTGGGTGTCCGTTGTTTTTATTGTCGTTTTTCATTTTTTGGCTCATGCAGTGCCTGAGTGTGACGGAGAAATTATATTTTCAATTCCGATTGACAACCACCGACGAGGGACGAACCGTCCCCACATGCGTCGGCCTGAAATATGGACCACCTCTTCTATGATCACACCGTCAAACATTCAGTGTTCTTTAATTGAAATGCCCCCGGGAAAGGGGAAGTTGATAAATTCCTGCAGCCCCTGCAATGTTCAATCAACATTTACACTTTGCTTGTGGTTCTTAAAGCCGGAAAAAAGTCAGCTTTTACTGGCTTATATCATCTTAACATTGAAACTTATCAGTGAGGGAAGACAAAACAAAAAACAAAAAAAAAAAAACAAGTTGAGCTTTTGTGCGAATGTCTTCGTCATCCACCCAATCAGCATTTTTCTCTCTGGCGCTCACTTTTTTGTGTGTGTGTGTGTGTGTGTGTGTGTGTGTGTGTGTGTGTGTGTGTGTGTGTGTGTGTGTGTGTGTGTGTTTCATAATGAGGTTTCACTCGACGGTGCAGATCGTAATTTACTCCATCTGTGCTGCCGAGGACATTTTCGCTCCAACTCGTGCAATTTACACGTTGCGCATTACGTAACCCCTGCTCTTCATTTTGCTGTTATTCAAAACGAGGCGAGCGGCCAGGGGGTGTGATTCATTGCCTGTTATGCCCGCTGACACATTATCGCACGTTATTATCGTGATTCACGACTTGACTCTCGGCTTGCAGGCCTTGAAGCAGCAGCAACAGCGGAACCAACGCAGGCAGGCGGCGATGCCGACCACTTCCAGTTCCAGGCTGCTGCTGAAGACCATCAAAGACATGGCCGACAACATCGGCGCCAAGACCGGTGGGTGTCTGCGAAGAACCGCCCATGTTTATCGCCCGCTCTCAAAAGGGTATCTTGTTGCTAACGAATGTCACCGACAGATCTTTGCCTCCCCGTCGGACCCAGGAAGGTTTCTCAGCGCTCAGGTCGTCTCAGTGCAGGTAACGTCTGACGGATTACACTCGCGAACTTTACGGGGAACTGAAAATACGCCGTCAAGGAAATCTGTCGTAAACTGAGAACCCCCGTTTTAATTAAATACCCTCCTCCCCCCCCTGCCTTCTACAGGGCACCTAAAACGTAACAGATGCAAAATCGATGTCGAGACTCCAGACTCCATTTTGGTCAACACCAACCTCCGGGCCATCATCAACAAGCACACCTTCTCCGTCCTGCCGCCGGCCTGCCAGCAGAGGCTGCTGCGACTTCTTCCCCAAGTGGACCAGCAGGTGCCTCGGATCTTACTACGCGGTAGCGGTTTCTGATTACTGACGCGCGGCTCTTCCCGACCAGGCCTGCACGGACGGTCTCCTCAAGGTGACGAGTTCGGCTTTGAACAATGAATTCTTCACGTCGGCGGCGCAGTCGTGGAAGGAACGGCTGGCTGAGGGTCAGCGCAGCTGCTCCTGACCGAAAATGACAGCATCCCGTTCGTCTTCAAAGGATGGTCACCGAGCATTTTTATTTTTTTTTTTCTCGGCAGGTGAATTCACTCCAGAGTTGCAGCTGCGAATGCGCCAGGAAATCGAGAAGGAGAAGAAAGTTGAGCACTGGAAAGAGGTCTTCTTTGAGAGCTATTATGGTGAAAAGTAGGTTGACTGGAGATGAAAGGAAAGGGGAATTTTTTTTTTCTATTCCCCGTAGCAGAAATGGAGGGCTCAAGCCACCCGAGTTGACTCGAGTCGGACTTAGAGGAATTTGGCCACTTTCGGACTTCTAAAACTACGTCAAAGTCTCCACTTGAGACTGAAATCACATGATTTGACAAGTCTTGCCTGCTTCCATTTGAAAATCTACATTTTCAAGGTAATAACATCCTTGGGCTGATATTAGCTCTTTTTTTAAAAAATGGCCAAAAAAAAAAAATTATGAAACACATTACAACATAACACAAAGATAATGCTGTCCAAACCTAAAAAAAAAAGTTTGGGTTTATCTTTTAAAAAAAAAATGCGTCGTTTTCACTGAAGCTACAATAATATCATTATCGAGATATCTGGCAAAAATATTGAGAGGTGAGATTTTGGCCATATGGCATAGCCCAAGTTGGCAAACTTATGATTTGCTTACCCCAAGTAATGATGTCACTTGCTTTGAAATTTCCTATGTGGTTTTTGAAGTTTTTCGTTGCCCTCTTAGGAGGTTTAGATCAGGGGATGTCGTTCGTATTTCTCGACTGTGAGCCTTGAACCCCTTTGACACCATTTTCTGATTAAGGGCTATACAAATAAATTTGACTTGACTTGAAATTTAGTAGGACCTCAACTTGCTTGATTCTTGCAACAGTTTTTTTGGACGTGCTTGGAACTCACTCCCACCTGTGACCTTTTATTTTTATTTTTGTTTTATTATTTATGCCTCCCCTTTTCTTCTTTCCCTGTGTAGTTCTGGGCTCAGTCTTGAGGAATCCAAAGAGCTGACTAAAGCTGATCTAAAATGGGAACCGAAGCCTCTTCAGCCAAGAGTGTCGGAGGAAGCGAAGGGCACCAAGGACCGCAGTCGGACCGACAAAGACTTCAAGTCCACACCGTCGCAGGAGAAGACACGACCTCCTCCGAAAGAATCTCTCTCCGTCCCAGAGCTGATGAAGACCAGGCGCTCTCAGCAAGCCGAGGATTGTCAGATGCCCGTTCAGACCTTGAGACCGGAACCCACGGAGCACGATGAGCGCGTCACCGCAGAGACGCGGACTGAGCCGAGTGTGAAAGAGGATAAAACACAACTCCCCCGGTCTCCCGTCAAGACAAGCCCGCTTCCAGAATCCGGTATGGAGGTAAAAGATGGTCCACCGACATCTGGGATGAAGCCTTCTGAAGAGACGATGGCCATTCCAGAAGGCGCTTCAGAACAGCAGAAAAGAAAGCCTCCCGGCGAGACAGAGGATGAGGCCACGCCGGACAAAAGACAGCGGGTATCCTCGGTTTCCTCAGTGTCCTCCATCTCCTCCGTGTCTCCTCCGGCTTCATCCATACCCAGCCCGGCCACGCCCACGTCGGCTGCCAACCAGAGAGTCCCGCCGCGCAAGGTAGGAAAATGTCTCATTGGGTCCTTTTACACCTCTGAGCCTCTGCTTAGTTCTTGGTACCTCTAAGAGTGTCTGGTCTGCAGACCTGAGTCACCAGGCATGCGCGTAGCGGCTCAGAGAGGTAAGGTGGCGTGAGTTCATTTAAAGCTTTGAAAACAAATAATAGGATCTTAAAAAGAACTCTAAAATGTCTCACCACCCAGGGCCTCATTGGAATGTTTCTCCCAGTGCGTTCTCCTGATCTCTCTTCCTCTCAGCAGCTATTCAATAAAGCCACTTGATATATGGTTTTGCAATGGAGACTGCAACTGTTGTAAACTTGAACGTAAAGCAGCCACAATGGAGGCCCGTGGCAGCGCGTAAATCTTCCCACTCTTCATTTTATCGGCATTCGTTTTTCTTGTGTTCTCGACAAAGAAAACACACACTTGTACAGAACAAAGCAGAAGGCCAACACCAAGCCAAAGAGCCAAATATCGCAAAATCTTCCTTAGGGCGGCGCGGTGGTCGACTGGTTAGCATGTCCGTCTCACAGTGCGGAGGTACAGTTTTCGATTCCGGCCCCGAACTTCCTGTGTAGAGTTTGCATGTTCTCCTCGTGCCTCTGCGGGTTTTCTCCGGGTAGTCCCGTTTCCTCCCGCATTCCAAAAACATGCAGGTTAGTGGAAACACTCAAAAGTTTTTCCCGAGGTGTGATTGTGAGCGCGAATGGTTGTTTGTCTGTGGCCGCCTCCCAAAAAACCTGTTCCCCGGGGTTACACTTGCACCTCCAGGCATTGCACCACCCCGGCGGCACTTTTTGAGAAGGACTGATCTCCGCTCACGTTCTTGTTTCCTTTCAGATTCCTGTGTCGCGAATTCTCCCCATCCCCTTGTCACCAAGTCACGGGTCACCAAGGATGCCTCTCCCTGCCCCCACGAGCAGCCCGGTTCGTACCGGCGCTCGCACTTTAGCGGACATCAAAGCCAAAGCTCAGCTCGCGCGAGCGCAACGAGTAGCAGCAGCGGCAGCGGCGGCCGCAGCCTCCGGGGGTGCTCTGGCCGTGTCCGGGCAAGGCGCGGGTAGCGCCGAGTCGACAAAACCCTCTCCAAGTCAGAGTCCGACATCCCCACACGCCTCCGCCAGGTTACCGCTCAACACCACCAGCACAGCTCCATCTCGGCCACAGGACTTCCTCGGTCCACTCAGTCCAAGAAACTTCAACATTCAAGATGCGAGAACAGCGAATGTGCGACCTTCTAGCACTTGTTCAGACTCTGTACTTGAGTTTCAGGAAACCCCTTCTGGATCAAACCGGACCAGCTCCTTTATCCCTGCAAACAACCCACTAGTCACCAGGCTCCTGCAGGGAAAGGAAGTCCCCTTGGAGCAGATCCTCCCAAAACCGCTCACCAAGGTGGAGGTCAAGATGTCAAGTGTACACTCCAGCAAGGGGAAGCCAACTCCTTCAGCCCCCAGCGGCGTTCCGGAGCACCACCAGTCCAATACCTCAGGCTGGGGCTTCTCCGACGACGGCAGGCACCACAAGGAACCTCTTGACAAAGACACTCAGGAGCAGATCCTGCAGACTCTGATGGAGAGGAAAATACCGCAGCGACAAGCCCATCGAGCGGTGAGCGGCGATGAACATCAGGGCCGACCATGGATATCCGTCGGCTTCTTGGGCCGCAAAAGGACGCAGAGGCCCGCCATGTCGGGACACTATCTCCTCAACGTGTCCACGTACGGCCGAGGGTCAGAGAGCAAGCGCTCTCAGCAGGCCGCCATCCCGAATGTGACCGCTGCGAAAAGAGAAACGGCGGATGGCCAGGAGGCGGCACGAGAGGGAACGTTTGAGTTCAAAATGGAGCTGCAAGGATCATCCGTAAGCAAGTGTGAGCAAGCGGAGAACCTTCTACTTGGTGCCGGCATTAAAACCGACCCGGGATTTGACAAAAGTGCGACGGATGAGAAAACCCCAGGGCATAAGCAACTTTGCAATCAAGGAAAATCCGAGCCATATCTACCGCCGAAGGACCCCAGTCACCAGCGACCGTCTGCCTTCCCAACCCCAAGGATGTCCATCCATCAGGAATCGGTTTCGCCCCGTTACGGCGGAACCATCAGCGTGTCCGTACCGCACGCTTTGAACCGCAACGCCGCCGCCGGCAGCGCGACCGTGCCGGACGCCGGGAGCGTCATGTCTTTCTCGGTGACCGTCACCACCATTCCTGCCGCCGCCAGCCCCCTGGACTCCGGCGACCGGAGCGCGCCGCCGGCGGAACCGTCCTTCATGGAGGCCGCTGGCATGGAAGACGCGCAGTCCAAGTGCTACTGTCGGCTGAAAGCCATGATCATGTGCAAAGGGTGCGGGGCCTTCTGTCACGACGACTGCATCGGACCCTCCGAGCTGTGCGTCTCGTGTCTGGTGGTACGATGACACCCGGATCGACTCGTGCCTGGGCGGTCGCGAGATTTACACTGGATGGTCTTTTACGGGCTGCGCGGCGGCCGAGCGGTTAGCGCATCTGCCTCACATTTCGGAGGGTCGGGATCTTGGCCCAGTCTCTTTCCTACATGGAGTTTGCTCATTTCCCCCGTGGTTGTGTGGGATTTTTGCCGGTTCCTTTGGCTTCCTCCTGCGTTGCGCAAACATACGTTCGGTTCATTGAAGACTCTAAATCGCAGGTCTCAAACACGATCCTGAACGTTTTTAGATATTTGCCCCTTCCCACACGTCTATTCAAAAGATCAGCTCATCGGCAAGCTCTGTCGGAGCCTGAGAACGATCCTGATCGTTTGAATTGGGTGTGTTGCGAGGAGGGGCAAAATCAGAAACATGCGGCATCGAGGCCCTCCAGGACCAGAGTTTGACGCCTGTTTCGAGCTGTGAATGGGGGTTTGAATGCCTACTGAATACAATACTCACAAAAAAATCTGGGATACAGGGTCTGAGCTCTCCAGCAAAAACTGCCGCCCCAACTACCGATCTGCGCACCGCACGGATAGTTTGTGTCGGGTTGGGGGTTCTGAAAGTAATTTCCGAATGGGATAGTATGTCAGCAACCCTTCACCATCGAAATGGTCCCCGGTGGAAATGGTTGAGGACCGCCTCCCTAAGTTTTATCAGTTTCTTCTCCACTGGGGCGCACCTAACAATTTGGGTCCGGATCTCAAAGGAGCGGCAGAGATTGTTGGTGCTCATTTTTTTCCCCAACCTCACTGGATGAACTTTAAACATTTACATTTACGGGATGGGAGTGCGTGAATACCGGTCTCCAATCTTTTTAGCACCACTGACCGGTCTTGCGTACGGACGTATTTTGATGGACCAGCAAGCCGTGAGATTGGTTGGTTCAGGAACGCGACACCACTCAAGCCGCTCAGCTTCTGCGCGTCCCTGCTTACAGATGTCATGGGATGGCGCCGAAGCCCTACTTTTCAATTTAACTGGGCTTTGGATTGTAATCAAAGCTCCTCATCGCAACTCAACCTAGTTCCTTGCCACCAGCATACCGCAAGGTGGTGCCAGGGCACTATTTTTCTATTAGGCAGGGCTTTGCGAGGAGAGTTTTTCAGCGGGTAGCAGAGGATCCGTTCCCCTCAAAAATAGACAAATTGGCACACCTGGCAGTGGTCGATTGCAAATTGGCGAGGGAACTTTGGGGTGAAATTTCAGGATCAAGCTAAAATGCAGTACAACCTTTACAGGGTCACTTGATTTGCTCTTCCCTCAAGTTTTGAATGCTCAGCTGTGACATTTTGGGTTCATGCTGAACTTTCACCTGAAGCCAAATATCCCCAACTTTTTGTGAGTACTCGCTGTGCTCTGCCATTGGCTGGCGACCAGTCCAGGGTGGACCCCGCCTCTCGCCAGAGTCATCTGGGGTAGGCTCGAGCTCGCCTGCAACCCTGTTGACAATAAGCGCTTTATAAAATGGATTCACTGAAATGTCTTTGTCCAAAGCCGTTTCGAAACATCCGTTCTTAAAACAATCGAGAGTCTCATCGGATCCAATCGGACATTTTGCACTTAGCATTAGCATGCTATATATTTTTAAACTAGATTTATGAAAACTAGTTTTTAAACGGGAAAACAGAGGGAAAAAATATTTTTGTTGAAACTCAAGGCTGTTTTAGACTTTTTATTTTTTACTATTGGGCCTGTGTCATTTTAAAGGCAAAAAAGGGGGCGTTGACGATAATCACAGTGTGTAAGATACCTCCTGTTTGGTGTTTGTCATGCACACACACACACCAGGGAAAGTGCAACTATTTTATAATATTAACACCAGAGACTCGCCAAGAATTGTGTCTAGTTTTGAAGAGAGCTTTTAAAAGGATTTTTTTTCTCCTACATTACACCTTATGCAAATTAATTATGATCATATATTCAGGAGAAAAATGCCCAATTGAAACGGTAGCGATGCTTGCATTCACTGAAATTTAAACAGAAAGACCTTCCTACTGCTTTTTCTTACCTGTGTTGTAGATATTTCAACGTCCAGGTTTCTATTTTTTTTTCTCTGTAAATGTTTTAGGCCAATGCCTGTATGTGCATGTTTGTTTTGAAACCAGACAAAATGAAGACACAGTTAATCGGAAATCCACCGTGGAGAGTCAAAACGCCAACGCTCTAAGTAAGCAGCTGTTGCGGTTTGACACAGCATGATTTATTTCATATACACACACACACATGTATGTGTGTATATATATATATATATACATACATACATACATACACACACACACACACACACACACAGTACATATAAAACATTTCCTGGATATTTGCGTTTGAAAACGCCAAAGTCACCTTAAAAACAAACTAATTAGATCTAATTTTGAAATATCTTATTAATAAATCAAAGTAATATATTTTAATTAATATATTTTAATATAAAAGATATTTGCGTTTGAAAATCAACAGGGTATTTTTTTTTTTTCCTCTCCGGTTTTTCCTGTCATTCTTTTGGTCTTTTTTGGAGGACCTGACAGGCCACTACACAGATGTTTATGGTTGTAAGCACCCAGATATGTATGTTACATGACTTGTAATCTGTGGGGTTTTTTTTAGATGCGTCTACATTTGTACGGAGAGGCTCATGTGTCCGTTAAATTGGGAAAATTGGGAGGTATGACTTATGAGAGCCGCGTTTAGTCATTTTATATCATTGAGTTCATGTCATGTCCTCCTGAATTATTGAAAAGCAATCAGAAAACTTGAAAAAAAAAAAACTTAATTCCCATGCGGCCAATAATTTGCTGATGTGAAATTTGTTGGAGGGGGGGGGGGGGGATTCAGGGGTTTGAGGTACAAAGCATCGTTGTAAATCAGGTAGCTTGTGGGCCATACACGGAAAACAAACTTTAACCCACAAATGCCCGTAAGGCAAAAATAATCATAAAAATAACAAACTGTCCCTTGGAAGGAAAAAGGTCAACAATGTCCACCAATGTAAGACTCAAATGTCATTTTGTCCTCTGTTTGAAACGGCTGAATGTAATGTAATAATCAGCACTATTGTGTGTAAAAAGAAAACCACGTATTTTATCAAAAGCTCTGGACTGTTATGAATAAAAATGATGTAAAAAAAATATTCTCTATGTTTTCCCCCTCCACCCTTGCACAATAAACTTTGGGTCAAATGGTTATTATTATTGATACAATAAATGATTTGTGTTTGAATGACTTTATCTTCAAAAATTACAATATTACATACATACTCATTTAAAAAAATGAAATAAGTGGATTAATTATTCAATTGGTGATGAAAGGAAGGACCGTGAGTTAATTTGATTAAAATAATTTTACATGTAGATAAAAAAACATTTGAATATATGGTTAATTACAGTATACATATATATATATATATATATATATATATATATATATGTATATGTATATATATATATATATGTATATATATATATATATATATATATATATATATATATATAAACGATAAAGACATTTTAGGCGTATGAACAAAACAGTAACATCATTCTTTGCAAGTAAATCAGAATTATTATAAAATTACATGATTGATTTCGTAATGAAATAAATATCGAAATAATTGAGCGAAATAAATTAGTGTAGAAATAATCTAATAGTGAAATAAATGAGTATGGAAATAGTTGAATAAGTGTTAAAATAGAAAAGACAAAATATTGGAGACGTTCCAGAAAATTAGCATTGGCCGGGGCTGCGCGCATGCGTACAGAGGAGCAGGTGACCGCGCATGGCATCTCCTCCTCCGCCACCGCTGCCGCTTGGCTCGCTGACTATGCCGAGCTGCACGTCCGTGTGCGCGGCTACCACCAACCGCAGTGCTCCGGGGGCTCCCGGTTAAGAATCGAGACGACGGCGATGACGATGACGATGACGGACGGCCACCCAAGATCTCTCTTCCGGTTAGCGCGCAGACTGCCGTGAGACGAGAAGAGTGGCTCGATATATAAATATTTTTTTTTTGTTCCGGGGAACCTCCATCCTGGTGCAGATGCGGCGGAGGATGCTGACGGTGTTTTAACTGCGGGATTGGAGGCCAGTTTCCCTCGGTGGAGCTTCGACGCCGGACGGTGAGAGAACCCCACGTTATTGGTGGCGATTATGATAACGCGATTATGGTATAACTAGTGGGCAGTTGGGGCGTTTGTGTGTCCGACATGGCCGCTACACGGGTGATTTTTTTTATTTTTTTTTTGCGAGATACCGCAGAGCGGCGTCAACTGGATACTGAAGGTGCGGTTTGTACGTGAATGCACCTTGAAGCAGCAGCACCAGCAGCAGCGATGATGTCACTCGCACAGTTGTCGTATATTATGTCATAAACTGTTTTTTTTTTCTCCGCAGTCAGTTCTTGACATCATCGTTTTAGTTCAACTCGCTATCCTTTTATGGAACAATTCTCCATTGAGATAAATATTTCCTGCACTGCAGTACGTGCCGATGGACACTCAATATTATGCATATTAACGTATGCGTACCATTTTGCATTCGCTCAAATGTGACTAGAATTTGTGACTTTGCTGTTAACACGTTTACATGTCATAATTTTAGTATCCTTTCACTAAAACCGTTACGCACATGAATACGTGTCTTACATTATGGGTGTAAAACTCACCAACGCTTCATTACATATCACTGTCAATACGATACCTGCCATTAATTGTGCACATATGACTGCAACCTAATTATTGCTTATGTCAAACAGCAACTTTTTAATACAATACAAGACTGATTTTGCTTATGTAAATTACATATTTGCATCTAAATATCATTAAAAGGAATTATAATAGTAATTTATTACAAATGAGTTATTTTTTACCCTAATACAGTAGTATTTTAAGATTTTAACATAATGATTGCAATAATCTATATTTTATTGTATGTAAACATGACATTTTTATATAGCTAACATGTTCATTCCATCCATCTCACATTCATATACGTTACTAACACACACACACACACACACACACACACACACACACACACACACACACCTTTTATATATGTATTAGACACAAATACATTTTATTTGATAAAGTTTGTCTTTTAATAATCTTCAACTGTTTAATTAATGTTCATTTCATTATTCCTGTCAGTAAGACATATTCTAAATATATACATTTTATTTTGATATAATTTGATATTGTTTTGTTTTGTTTTTATATCATTTGCTTTTTTTATGTATAGTAGTTTAACCATTCATATTAATAGCACATTTAGCCACAATATCACACATGAGATGACTGGCGATATTTTATTTTGTATCCATATGATCATCATTAAATTGTTTTTTGCATTCTAATACAGCAGCACATTTAATTTAAAAAAATGATATATTCTCATTGTAGTTGATATGATTTGCAATGTAACCACTTATTTAATTACATTACAATAGCGTCTGACATTATTTCAATGCAACATGTTGACTACTGTCTTGTCCTGGATGTCATCAAGTGTACATGGAATGTGTCTTTTCTTGACAGGCTCGCCGTTGAAAAAGTTTCATTTTTGCATGACGTTGAGCCACCGACAGGTAAAAATACCTTTTGGCTTTCAAGTGCTAGCCACTGCTAACCCATTAGCTTGGCGAATGGGGGAAAAAACAACAAGTGCAGAAACAACCCAGCTGGGAGTTTTGGAAAGGCTAAAAATAATCCTCCGAGAGCACTCCCACACTTGAGATGAGCAATTAATGGTCAGACAGGAGTCATTTGTTTATTTGCGCTAGCATGTCTCGTTTTAGCATGAGCGGCAGTTGCCAGGAGTCACGACTAGCGGCTTAGCTTAGCATCATCTCCTCAAAATCATGAGCGTCTCTTTTGCTATCGATTTTGTCACTTTTTTTTTTGCGCCATGGCATCAGGTTTTCTTAATAACAAAAAAAGAATGAATATTTCTCAAGAGCCTTAATGTTCTAGAACAAAAGGAGACTTCTTTTGAAGTCGGCATCCAAAATACGTTGAGACACATCAAGGCATTTCTGTTTAAAATGTGACCAGTGTCATAACAACAACAATATTCATGACAATGAATGTTGTTGCGAATAATATTTTGAATAAAAAGCAAGTGTTCTTTCTCTATGCAGCCTTCAGGATGATCGAGGAGGGCAGCAAGCGAGGCAAGGCGGCCGTGGAGAAGAGGCAGCTCTTCATGGAGATGAGTGAGTTTGCCTTCCTTCTTTTTACACTTGTATGATCAGAATGAATGCTGACATAAAATGTTTCTTCTTTTCTTTCTTCTCGTCAGGAGCCCAAAACTTTGACGTGATCCGACTGTCGACGTACAGGACGGCGTGCAAGCTACGTTTCGTGCAGAAGCGATGCAACCGTGAGCGGCCGTCGGCTCGACGCGAAAGGCATTTTTTGAGAAACCCGGTGACGCTTTTCTTTTGTCTGTTTGGGCGTGTGCGGCGTCAGTTCACCTGGTGGACGTGTGGAACATGATCGAGGCCTTCCGGGATAACGGCCTCAACACGCTGGAGCATCACGCCGAGATCAACGTGTCGCGGCTGGAGACCATCCTGTCCTCCATCTACTACCAGCTCAACAAGCGACTGCCGACCACGCACCAGATCAACGTGGAGCAGTCCATCGGACTGCTGCTCAACTTCATGGTGGCCACCTATGACAGGTGTGTTTTGCCTTTCAAAACATTACAGTTTTTTTTTTAGCCCCCGCCCCGCCAAAAAAATATCACATTTACTGCCTTGTCCGAATGTCCAATTTTTATTATTTAATCCATTCAAGTGTACCCTTAACCCCCCAGTAAAACAAAAAAAAATGAACAACTTTAATAGCACTCGACAATATTGTAAAATCATACAGAATAAAATTTAAATAGAATGAAAAAAAAAAACACTGGTCGTTTTTTTAATCAGAGATTTCAGTAAATTTTTCTACTTTGTAGATTTTTTTTTTTTTTGAGTTGATTTTGAAACTCGTTTTTTTTTTCTCTAGCACATCAGCTTTTCGTAATGTGATAGGACATGTCATAAATTAATATTTATGAATTAAGGCTTAGGATCCACACATGGTGGCCACCTATGACAGGTGTGTTTTGCCTTTCAAAACATTACAGATTTTTTTTAACCGCCCCCCCCCAAAAAAAATCACATTTACTGCCTTGTCCGAATGTCCAATTTTTATTATTTAATCCGTTCAAGTGTACCCTTAACCCCCAAGTAAAACAAAAAAAAAAATGAACAACCTTAATAGCACTCGACAATATTGTAAAATCATACAGAATAAAATTTAAATAGAATGAAAAATAACACTGGTGGTTTTTTTAATCAGAGATTTCAGTAAACTTTTCTACTTTGTAGATTTTTTTTTTTTGAGTTGATTTTGAAACTCGTTTTTTTTTTCTCTAGCACATCAGCTTTTCGTAATGTGATAGGACATGTCATAAATTAATATTTATGAATTAAGGCTTAGGATCCACAACAGGTCGATTTTTATTTATGAAACACCAAATTACAACGCATGGTAAAATCCGTATTGCGTCACCTTTTATAGGTCAAAAATGAAAATATCTCAGAAACCTGATGTTCTTTAAAAAGAAAAAAAAAGTGGGGGTGAACCCATGACCTCTGCACTACGAGGTCAACGCGCGAACCACTGGGCTGCCAGGAAGAATATTATTTGAGGAAATACATTGCTCACACTCATCTTTGTTTGTGCAGTGAAAGCCACGGCAAGTTGACGGTGTTCTCCATGAAAGCAATGCTGGCAACCATGTGTGGAGGCAAAATAGTGGACAAGCTGCGCTGTAAGTACCTTATGCACGCAGGGGAACCAAAGAATAATTTGCACAAAAAAAATTTAAAAGCGCTGATATCATTGTGACGCACCAACACATAAATCTAATGTCTGTATGAGTCAAGTATTTTGTTGGCGTGTTTTTTATTTATTTATCTCATTTGTGGATTACAAAAGTAAAATCTTATTTTTTCAGGAGGAAAAGATATATACAGTATATTTTTTCAATAATCTAGACAGCATAGCATACAGTATAGTTAGTGGGTTGAGGTGGGGGTGAACTCACGACCTCTGCACTACGAGGTCAACGCGCGAACCACAGGACCACTGGGCCGCCAGGAAGAATATTATTTGAGGAAATACATTGCTCACACTCATCTTTGTTTGTGCAGTGAAAGCCACGGCAAGTTGACGGTGTTCTCCATGAAAGCAATGCTGGCAACCATGTGTGGAGGCAAAATAGTGGACAAGCTGCGCTGTAAGTACCTTATGCACACAGGGGAACCAAAGATCTGCGTTTCAATCCAAAAATCAGAATGAGCCAACCTTAACTTTGAGACATTTAAAAGCGCAGATATCATTGTGACGCACCAACACATAAATCTAATATCTGTATGAGTCAAGTATTTTGTTGCCGTGTTTTTTATTTATTTATCTCATTTGTGTATTACAAAAGTAAAATCTTATTTTTTCAGGAGGAAAAGATATATACAGTATATTTTTTCAATAATCTAGACAGCATAGCATACAGTATAGTTAGTGGGTTGGAAAGTGTATTGCAGGTAATACAATATATTGTCTGCTCTGGAAAAATTATGAAAAATAACAGAGTTTTTGATGTATTGATCATGTGATGGAGATTAAAGAGTAGGACAAGTTAAATGTATACAATTTCCCTCCTCCTTTTTGATCATTTGGCTTCTGTAATGGCACACTTTGACCTCACAGAGGGCGCTGTTGTTTAACCAATCTTTCAATGGCTCAGACTTGCCCTTTTTTTTTTTTTTCAATGTTTAAATTTTTTTTCCTCCCATTTTTCTGGCAGATATTTTCTCTCAGATGTCGGATTCGAGTGGCATCATGTTGTTCGCCAAATTCGACCAGTTCCTTCGCGAGGTGCTCAAGCTTCCCACGGCCGTCTTTGAGGGGCCCTCCTTCGGCTACACCGAGCACTCGCTCAGGACGTGCTTCCCCCAGCAGGTGGGAGGGCCACATTGCAGCCCTTTTTTTTACTCCAGTTCGGGGGTCGGCAACACGCGGCTCCAGAGTGCCATGCGGCTCTTTAGCGCCATCTAGTGGCTCCCTGGAGTTTTATTAAAAAATGTTTGAAAATGGAAAAAGATGTGGGAGGGAAATGTATTTTTTTGTTTTCAATAAGGTTTCTGTAGGAGTTTTTTTAATGTAAATTGAGTCATACAGGTTATTGGTCACATTATAATAAGGTTTCTGTAGGAGTTTTTTTTTTTATGTAAATTGAGTCATACAGGTTATTGGTCACATTAATGGTGGAAACTGTGTGTGTGTGTGTGTGTGTGTGTGTGTGTGTGTGTGTGTGTGTGTGCGCGCGTGCACATGGGTGAGAGGTGTTTCTTGTGTGCAATGTGTTTGCTTCCAGAAGAAGATCACGCTGAACACGTTTTTGGACGTCTTGATGGCGGATCCTCCGCCGCAATGCCTCGTATGGCTGCCGCTCATGCACAGACTCGCTAATGTCGAAAATGGTACGTTTTGGGGTTTGTTTACAGTTTCTGCATCAGCAGTGTGAGCCTAAGTTCAGAACCTTAATTGGAACCCGAAGCCCCAGACCAGAATCGGAACCCTAACTTAACCAGAATCCTAAAGATGATTCAAACCAAAACCCTAAAACCTAACCCAGCCCAACCCAGAATTCAAGATCCCCTCAACTGATTGAAAGACACTGACCCAACTCTTAACAGTAACCAAAACACTAAATGACACCTAAAACCAACTTTAAGAACCAAACCCTCATCTAAACTCTAAACCCGAACCCTGAGGCTCACCTGCACCCTAAAACCCAACCCCAAACAGAACAGAACAGAGAGCTCAAATCCCGAACCCCAAGATAAACCTCAACCTGAAACGTTCATTATTTTAACCTCAATCATAATCAGAACCTAAACCTGAACCCCACACCGAGGCAGAACCGTAACCAGAACAAGAACAGAACCCCAATCCAAACTGGAAACCAGAACCCCTACACTGGATCTTTGCTGTAAGCAGACTTACAGTGTAAAGCTGAACACAAACATGGCCGTTCTAAAAAAATTATATATATAATAATAATAATAATAATTCATTTGCGCCGACTCCAACATTTGCGTCCTTCTCCTGGCTTGTTTTCAGTCTTCCACCCGGTGGAGTGCTCCTCAATAATAATTCATTTGCGCCGACTCCCAACATTTACGTCCTTCTCTTGGCTTGTTTTCAGTCTTCCACCCGGTGGAGTGCTCGTATTGCCGCAGCGAGAGCATGATGGGTTTCCGCTATCGCTGCCAGCAGTGCCACAGCTACCAGCTGTGCCAGAGCTGCTTCTGGAGAGGCCACGCCAACGGACCCCACAGCAACCAGCACCAGATGAAGGAGCACTCGTCCTGGGTAACCGGCGACCCAACCGCTTTTTCGCCGCTCTCGCAAACAATCGCAAGTGTCGTTCGGCGCCGTCTCCACTTGGATCATTTGAAGGCGGCGAAACGCCTCCAAGCCGTCTGAAAGCGATGCCCGATTGAGGTGGATTTTGGTGGAGTTGATGGCCGCTTCGGGGAGGAGGCATTTGATCGGCTTCGAGCTGCCGAGTGTTTTTTTTTTGAAAAAGCGCCTCACAGCGACGGTCTCATTTATTTTGAGTTGATGATTGCTCGAGGAAGGTGATTCTTCTTAAAATGGTCAATGCTTGAGGGAGGCATTCGTTTGTCTTACAGAAAAAAGATCAAATCTGGCATTTCTTTTTGTAGAGGGCGATGTTTATTCATTTGAACGTGATGATTCTTTGAAGGACAACTTCGGTAGCTGCTTGGGAGGGGGCGGTTTTCCTCGGGTGATGATTTGTGGGAGGCGTTTATTTTTCGCAAATGAGGAAGAGGTTTATTTCTTGATAGGCGTGAAGTTGATCATCGCTTGGGGGAAATGTTTATTTGTCGTAAGTTGATGATTATTTGAAGGAGGCATCTATACATCTCAAGGTGATTATTTGAGGGCCGCGTTTGCTTGTTTTGGTCGATTATTTGAGGGAGGCGTTTAATTTCAAGTGGACAAGGTGTATTAGCCAAGGGGGGGCCGCCATCTTAAGGAAACGCGTCGAACGCCAAATTCGCAGTTCCCGCGTCTTGACCCGCCGATGCAAATGGGATGTGCTTTGTTGCCGCGGCAACGCGCTGACGCCGTCATCCACGTTGTCGCGTTCGTCCTCGCCTTTTGCAGAAGTCTCCCGCCAAGAAGCTGAGCCACGCCATCAGCAAATCCCTGGGCTGCGTCCCCATCGGCGAGCCCCCGCATCCCGTGTTCCCCGAGCAGGCCGAGAGACCCCAGGAGACTCCTCACAACGTGTAAGTCGTCAAATTATCTTACGGGCGGTATAAAAATGACTCGTAGAAATACTTGGAAATCCGATGTCATATTTAAAAATACGGAAGGATGTTTGAAAATGATCTGTGATTCCACTCGCTGCGTATGGCGTGTCTTACTCTCTTCTCCGGGCCTTGGGATGTCAGTCATATTTGGCCGTGAGCTCACCCATGACAAGTAAATGCTATTGATGCTGCGTGTGTAAAATTGGAATTCATTGTTAGCAAGTTGACCTGGTGATTTCCATGCTGATTGTTAGCTATTAGCTTGATTAGCTACACTAGCTTCTGCTTGATCAAATGAGTTTGTGAGCGCAATTAATGTTGAATTGATGGTATTTTGTTCACGATTTTAGACGGATTTATTTGTTCTCTTCGCTTAGAGAAAAACAGATATTCAAAACGATTGAAGGTTTCTGGGGTTTTTTTTCCCCCACGTTTGGGGATTTGTTGTGGTCGCTGACGGCGTCGTGGTACACTGGCCTGACTTGTGTGCGAGCAGCTCAGCGAACGGTGTGGATGTGGGTGTTGAACGGTTGTTTGTTTCTATCTGTGCCCTGCGACTGACTGGTGAACCAGCACGACGGGGTGTAATCCGCATTTCGCCCAAAATCAGATGGCGTAGGCTCCAGCATGCCCGCGACCCTCATGAGGAAAAGCGCTTTGAATGATGCATAGATGGATGGATGGATGGCATTTGCTTTATTTGCTCCGACACCAAACCGTTTTTGACATTTTTTTGATACAGCAATTTCCTTTTTTTCCCCCCTAAGCATGAACTTGCGTCAACTTGCTCAGAAATAAGATAAATACATCACATTTCTTGACAGCTAATGTGAAAACAAGTGCCTCTTATTGGCAAAGTGTCCTTTTTGACGGAATATGTAGGTAAACATAACGATGAGTTGTTATTTGAAATTGACAACAATTTAATGTCATGAGCCGTCAATCTGAATTCCTCGGCCGGGAATTTTTGACCTGAGGTATGTGCTGGGACGCACATACCTCAGAAAATTTTCAACATGGAGACAAATCTCGGCTTTGGCGATGTAGAAATGGATGCTATGTCTTTTTTTTTCTAGTCGTAATTCGATTCACCAGTATTTTTTATTTATTTATTTATTTATTTTTGTGCTTGCCAGAGGGGGTCGGAAAAGTTGCAAATTATACAGTCGTGACCAAATCTCTAAGTCAGCAACACTGCACAGCGAGGACGCGCTTTGTACAAGCTGAAAAAGCATTCATTTATAAAAAGAAGTAAAAATAAAAAATTTAAAAAAATCATTGTTCAACTCATCGTAATAGTAATGTATTTCCAAAGTCATTTAAAAGAATTGTAAATCCCATGACTGTGGCCGGACATCTCGGCCAGCCAGGGATCGTTCACGGGAACCCCGCCAAGCCTCCACTTTGACTTTCATTGATGAGCCATTGGAGGAAAGAGAATTTTAAACACTGCCAACCAATGAATTGTCGACGGAGACTCGCTCCTGTTGTTCCCATCCAACCTCTCTCTCCACTATGTGAGCGCCGACTTTGATTCCAGCTCCCAAAATCCAGCAGATGCCGTTTTTAACGTGTTTACCTGCACCTGACAGCCAAGCCGGCAGAATTTTTGTCAGCCACGTTTCTCTGGGATTTGCCTTCAAAGTTTTGAGGGATGTATTTTTTTTTTTTTTCAGAATGTTGCATCCAAAATACAACAAGACTCGCTACCAACCTGCTTTGGGCTACAGCATTCAGAGCACTAAAAATAGAACAAAAAACGGCCAATTCCCTCTACTTCGTCTTAAACTTAGGTTGAGTCATTTGGGGCACACTTATTGTTGCCCCAAAGCTTGGAAAACAAAAATACATGCCGGTTGTTTCCCTGGCAACTGAGTTGCACGGGGATCAGATAACGACCGCTCGTGGCTCTGCTTCACGAAACAGGCGAGCCGTGATTGGTCGTTACCTGAGCCCCGCGCAACTGTGATGTCATTTTCAGTTGACAGCAAGTAGCAAAATGGCCGCATCCTGAGATAGCTAAAAACGGATGGATTTTGCTGCTTAACTCATATTCCCCAAATGCAACATATATCAGAATAATGTCGCGTATTAATGTCGTGTTTAAACTACCGGTAGTAGCATAGAAAATATGACTGGAAAGAAAATGTTGGGCTTGACTTCCCCTTTAAGATCAGACACGGCAGACGTAATTCACTTAGCGGTGAGTGCAGTACATTGAGTTTTTTATGATTCAGGATGTAATGACCTCGGTAGTGCGGCGTGTGACGAGCGGAGGCCGTGGTTGGTTATGCATGACATTTTTTTTTTGTTTTTTTTAGCCCCGCTGGGGCCACTAACTGTGAAATATGGTGACAGTGAGGCGACGTTAACATACCGCCTCGACCCTGCCGCACGCCAAGTTCAAGGAAAGCGTTGTCATTCACCAGGAACATTGCCTCCTGCTTCACCTCTGCTGTGCAGAATTGATTGGGCATGATAATTCATGCCCCAAAGACTGGGAATACGTCAGTCGTGTCCACCATGCTTTTTCCCCCCCCCACACACACACAAATTGAGACAGAGGAAGAACGCAGACAAGACAAAATCTAGCTTTTTATTCGACCGGTGGATCTTGGTGGGTGGATCGAGTGGGAGAGGTGGGAAAAAGACACGAAGAAGGGAGGCAGAGAGAGAGAGAGCGAGAGAGAGTGTGCCGGAGAGAATTGACATTGAGTTTCCGTGGAGACGGCAGCAGCCACAGCATCAGTGAGGTAGCCCAGACTCGGATGGGTTTTTTTTTTTGTTTGTTTTGTTTGTTTGTTTGTTTTTTTTTCGCCAAACGGACAGGCGCCTTCTCTCCTCGGCGGAGGTAAGCTGGACAGTGAATGCGATCTGTACTGTTTGTAGCATGGTTCCCTTGAGTCGGTTTCTCCTCGGAATGTTTGATGGTAAGGTGAATGCAGGCGATCGAGCAGAATGCTGAAACTCGACAGAAGTGCCTCAAAGTAGGGCTAACTATCATTTTTATGGCCACCTCCAAAACGCTGAACGGGACAAATCATGATAATTGGACACTCTAGCTTTTTTATGTGCTAATAATGTCTTCTTGCCCGCTGTGGTACGATTAATTGCGAGCTTGAAATTTGTCATTGCCATTCCCCCTCCGAAATAGAGTGAGAGAAATGCCAAAGACACCAACAACGCTGAATAATGATCATAGAAAACTCGAGACACTCGTACTGGGGGTGTGACTTCATTTGCTGAATCAGCAATATCAGGGAAATTAACAATCAATTTTAAAAAAAATAGAACAGCATGGAATCGCCTTGCTCTTTGGATATTCTGAACTCTCGTTTCCGTGCTAGCGTCTTCTGCAAATACTTCTTTCGACAGCTAACTCGCTGATCTTGGATTGTGACTCGATGCACTTCCAGACATGATTAATCAATCGTCGAAAAAGCATCGCAACAAATACAAATATTCCAGCCCTGTTTTATGACACCCTTGTCTTCAATGCCATGTTGCTATTAAGCACCAAGGTAAAGCAGCATTTTTTAACACCGATCGCTTCAAGACATCGATCTTGGATTGTGACTCGATGCACTTCAAGACGTGATTAATCAATCGTCGATTTTAAGATAAGATAAGATAAGATAAGAAAACCTTTATTAGTCTCGCAATGGAGAAATTCCCAATACACAGCAGCAAAGTTATGAAAGGAAGAAGTAGAACAACAAAATATAGTTTTGCACGATTTACCAAATTTTCATGCAGAAAAAGCATCGTAACAAATACAAATATTTCAGCCCTGTTTTATGACACCCTTGTCTTCAATGCCATGTTGCTATTAAGCACCAAGGTAAAGCAGCATTTTTTAACACCGATCGCTTCAAGACATGATTAATCGACTGTCAGGTCCAAACAATCGAGTTAACTCTATTTATAGAAGAAGCACGACATCTTTGGGTGTGAAGGGCAAGAAAATCAGCAGCACACTTGTCCGCGCATTTTCCACATTTCCTCTTTGGATCGATCGGGAACTGGTGGAGCAACAACCAAAATATTGAGAAGCAAAAAAAAAAAAAAAAAGAAAAAAAAATGGAATTTTAAAATGGCTTCAAGACATAATTAATCATATGTCGACGCCACACGAGCGACCGAATTCTTCTTGCAGGAAAAGGAACACAGTATTTCATCCTTTGAGTGATTGGAAAACTGTTTTGTTTGTTTGTTTCCTTCGTCTCTTCAAGGCATGATTAATCAACCGTCAATTCCACGCAAATGTCTCTTGTCTTTGGATTATCTTGTAGCCCATTCCAGGGCATTTTTGCAATTCTGTCCATGACCTGCCTTTCATCGTTCTGCAAAAAAAAAAAAAACAACTAGATTTTGGAGAGCTGAGAAAAATAATAACACACCTGTCCCCAACGCGCTGCACATTTTGTTTTGATCGATTGTGAATTTGATGAGTCATGACAAAAGTGCCCCAAAAGAGCGACATTTTGTGACGGCAGGCAGCACGGGTGGGAATACTTCTCCCTGACTCAAAAGCTGATGGCGCCTCGTGCTTGCGATTGATTCTTGGTTACCGGCGGCCCCCTGCGGGAGTCCTGCTGCCTAGCTTAGTAGCATTAAAGAGCTCTAATCTTGTCTTGTAGTCAGCCCAAAGCAGCGGCCGACCACATGAGCGACACAATGCTCATGTCCTCTGGGGCGGCTGCTCCCACCAAGAGGTAAGCGCCTCCTTCCCATTAGGATTCTTGGCCCGAGTGTCACGGGTTTCATATTTTCCATCAATGCATCCTTACCCCTGGAACCACAAACGCACTGCAGTTCACAAAAAAAGAACATTCTGAATGTTTTACTCTTTGGTGGGTTGACATTTGGCAGGACCCACAACATCATCGTCATCTACGGACGCGTCGCAACGGGAAACCGCGACTCTGTTTGAGGCTCCACATACTGCACGTGGCACGATATGAAGCCCTTTTCGCACTGCACTTAGAAAGGCACAGAGTGCCGTCAGCGAACCCCTTCACTGGGTCTGAAAAAATGTTGCATTTGAAAGCGCCGTCGCCGTGACGTCAGACCAGTGCCTCCAATAGGAGAGGAGTTGAAATCTCCCTCAGAGCAATCTTGCTGGAACCGTAGCTCACATCAAACTCTCTAAATTCCCGCTGAGCCATTTTTTTTTCCCTGCTGCTCATCTCCTACTCCCCCTTTTCAAAACCAGCTTTCTTTTGCGACAGTCGAGGTGTGGCGTATTTCTCGTCTATAGCAGCAGTAAGTCTCCATTCTGACTTCCTGGTGGGCTGGTTACGGCAGCGATTCCAAATGCGGGCACAGCTAGCAAGCGCAGCGCAGAGAAATGTCCGGGCTGGACACAGTCTGGCAAAAATAAAATAAAATGACTTAGAATGAAGTGGGAATTGTTATTTTTACGTATATAACAGAATCCTCACACTTTTGGGATTTTTTTTTTTTCCCCTTGCGAAATTCTCACGCGATGTCACCAAACAGAAACGTCCCAAAATTTGATGTACTGAACATTGATGTGAAATCGAATAATTTCCCACGCCACACTATTAGTAGAGGCAATTGTAAACGTTTTTACATGCGGCGTCCATTTTAACCGAATCAGCAGCTGGACTGAAATGGCCCAACCTCTCCTATCTTTGCATTAATGTTCCCTTGTTGAAAATTGGCATCAGAAACATGGATGCCGAAAGCTCCCATTTTACCCGCAGGCGACGTCACAGCTTTTTGGGCGAGAAATCGTTTATTAAGCCGGCATGGCGCTTCTGAAATACTGTCGCTTTTTCGAGTGGAGATATGCTGCCAGATGAAAGAAGGAAAATGGATGCCTGCTATATATAGAGTACTTTTAGCCTCCAGATACTCTACATTTCACGGCTAATATTCTTAATTGGCATTCCTGGTGTTCTTTTGAGGTTGCTTCTCTTGTTCTCTATATCGAATCAAAGCGCTTTGGAAGTCTTTTTGAGGCGCAAAAATAGCATTTGGGTTGAGCCGCGTGGACCAGAAGGACAGTTTGGCAGCTGAATTATTCGTCTGCTATGCAAAAATGTGGCCTGCTTGCTGATCTTCGGAAGATCCTCGAGCACCGTGAAGCCAATTTTTGCAAGCACGTGTCATCCTGATGAATGTTTCATAAAAGGACACTGGAAAAAAGTCTCAAGGGCCTCTCTTTGGGAGTGTACAGGAATTTGGTCATTTTAGTGGGAAGTCGTCATTTTAGGTAGCGTACAGCCTATAAGGTGAGGGTAAAAAAAAAAAAAAAAATTCACCCCACCACAAGTTTGACTATTTGACATTACATTGATTGAACATGTTAATCATAACAGGACACACATAAAAGTGTCAAGGACCCGTGCCAGGAACGGAGCAGAGAGTCAGCCATTTTGGTCTGAAGCAGCCATTTTGGGCAAAGTCCAGTGCTTTTAAGTACTTTGGCAAAGTCCTGCTGGGGAATTTGCTCAAATGAGCTGCAATCAGAAGCGGGTCTATCTATCTATCGATCTAACTTGCTAGCTAGCTAACTTGCTAGCTATCCACAAAGCTAGCTAAGTGGCTAGCTGTGTGTTTTTTTGTTTTGTTTTTGGTCATATGCCTATCCTTTTAGTCTGCTATGCAAAAATGTGGCCTGCTTGCTGATCTTCGGAAGATCCTCGAGCACCGTGAAGCCAATTTTTGCAAGCACGTGTCATCCTGGTGAATGTTTCATAACAGGACACTGGAAAAAAGTCTCATGGGCCTCTCTTTGAGAGTGTACAGGAATTTGGTCATTTTCGTGGGAAGTCGTCATTTTAGGTAGCGTACAGCCTACAAGGTGAGGGCAAAAAAAAAAAAAGAAAAATTTCACCCCAACACCAGTTTGACTATTTGACATTACATTGATTGAACATGTTAATCATAACAGGACACACATAAAAGTGTCAAGGACCCGTGCCAGGAACGGAGCAGAGAGTCAGCCATTTTGGTCTGAAGCAGCCATTTTGGGCAAAGTCCAGTGCTTTTAAGTACTTTGGCAAAGTCCTGCTGGGGAATTTGCTCAAATGAGCTGCAATCAGAAGCGGGTCTATCTATCTATCGATCTAACTTGCTAGCTAGCTAACTTGCTAGCTATCCACAAAGCTAGCTAAGTGGCTAGCTGTGTGTTTTTTTGTTTTGTTTTTGGTCATATGCCTATCCTTTTACACCATTGTTAAATGTGCCCATGTAGAGAGTCCAATTGAGTCTTTTTATCGTTTCCCCGCAGCGTCTTGGAGAGTCCCAGCCGGCTGGACGAAGAGCACCGCCTCATCGCCCGTTACGCCGCACGGCTGGCGGCCGAGGCGGGAAACTCCACGGTCAGAATTTAGCTTTCGATGTTCACTTTTAAATCAGAAAACATGGTTGACTAGGGCAAATTCCAGAGGGAACAATCTTCAAGGTATCCACCGGAGTCATTTATTGGAATAACAAGCTTTTTTTACTGGCAGTAAACATTAAATTATAACTGACCATCTTGATTCTTCGATGAACTCAGAATGATTTTTTTGTTTTTATTTCACAGCAACAATGTCCTCCCTCCGACCTAACGTTCTCTTTTGACGCCAACAAGCAGCAGAGGCAACTGATTGCCGAGCTGGAGAACAAAAACAGGTGGGAAAAATGCGGACGTCCTCCAAACTTGGGGGGGTGTTATAAATTTTGTGCTCAAGGGCCACGTTTGATTGTTAAACAGAAAAACAGTGAAATAACTGCAACCAAAAACTCAATCCAAAATTAATTTCCCCCCCCCCAAAATTCTACACTGGCAGTCCTGTCCAATAACGACGGTGTGCCGAGCTTAGATATGAATAAAGCTGAAATTGCTTCTGTGAATATTTTTTTGTTAGTTTTTTTAATGAAATTGAACTTAATTTTATCTCATGGAACTCCAACCGTCCAGCAAGTGTGTCACGGCTTTTTCAGGGAGATCCTTCAGGAGATCCAGAGGAAATTATCACTGACCATCTTGACTCTTCTATTAACTCAGAATGATTTTTTTGCTTTTTTGTTTTTATTTCACAGCAACAATGTCCTCCCTCCGACCTAACGTTCTCTTTTGACGCCAACAAGCAGCAGAGGCAACTGATTGCCGAGCTGGAGAACAAAAACAGGTGGGAAAAATGCGGACGTCCTCCAAACTTGGGGGGGTGTTATAAATTTTGTGCTCAAGGGCCACGTTTGATTGTTAAACAGAAAAACAGTGAAATAACTGCAACCAAAAACTCAATCCAAAATTAATTTCCCCCCCAAATTCTACACTGGCAGTCCTGTCCAATAACGACGGTGTGCCGAGCTTAGATATGAATAAAGCTGAAATTGCTTCTGTGAATATTTTTTTGTTAGTTTTTTTAATGAAATTGAACTTAATTTTATCTCATGGAACTCCAACCGTCCAGCAAGTGTGTCACGGCTTTTTCAGGGAGATCCTTCAGGAGATCCAGAGGCTTCGTCTGGAGCACGAACAGGCATCGCAGCCCACGCCGGAGAAGGCCCAGCAGAACCCGACGCTCCTGACAGAGCTCAGGCTGCTCAGGTAACGAGGACAAAGAAATTCAAAGACATTCATCAAGAAAGATGAGAGAAATACACAAATATAGTGAAAAAAATCCCAGCAAAAATATTGGATAAAAAAGGGGAAAACATTATAAATATTTGGCAAATATAAAATGAATACATCAGAAAAAAAACATCCAAATATTTGGAAAAAAAATGTTGTTTTTAATTACAAAAAAATAAAAGCACAATATGAAACAAAAGTTATGGTTACAAATATAAGAATAAGACAAATATTAGACAGAAAAAATACACAAATAGTCATAAATACAGAAAAGGTTGACAAATGCGCTCATATTTGACTAAAAATAAGACAAACAATATTAGAACAACACAAAGTATTTGACAAAAAAAAAAAATACTCAACTTGTCATAAAAATCAAAAAAATGTACGTGTGCAGCAATACATTTTGCAATAAGGCTGCAACATAAAATGCGAGCAAAGTAAGCGTTTGTGACTCCACTATTTTGTATTTTGGGATAAAATGAGCGGCGCATTTGTGTGGATTCAGACACAGAAAGGACGAGCTGGAGAGGCGCATGTCGGCCTTGCAGGAGAGCCGGCGGGAGCTCATGGTGCAGTTGGAGGGACTCATGAGGCTTCTCAAGGTTCCCAATCGGTTCCAAAGCACTGATCCATCATGTCTTAATGTGACCCGCTGATGCCTTTCCTCTTCTGGGTGCACGACTTTGATGATCATCTTCTCGTCTGCTTAACGTGCTGGCTGACAGGATGAGGAACAGAAGCAGGTGGTGAGTGAACCTTCGTGTGTTTTGCATGCCGGTTTGGTGGCGCGCTGTAGTCCAATAAATTGAATTGACAAGACTAAACCTTGACGGATTAAACGGTCGGGTGATTTAATCCGCAGATATATGCGCTAAACAAAAAAAAAAAACAGTAAAATAGAGGACAATCAGATTAGTATGAGCTAAACAAAAAAAAAACAGTAAAATAGAGGACAATCAGATTATTAGAAGGTGGGGCAAATTTACCATGAGAACGCTCTGATGATCATGATTTTGCTGTCGTGATGTAAAAGTTGTTTTGTATTGACCGCTGTAAAATTACGGAGTGGTTCCTGATACTTCTGTGCTGCGCGTCATGGTGGTCTTCACTCTGCAGTCGCAGTCGGGCGGCTCCCCCCACTCATCGCCCAGCCATGGGGCGGGCTGCTCCATGCCCATGCCCATACGCTCCACCTCGGCCGGCTCCACGCCGACGCACACGCCCCAGGACTGTATGGCGGGCCTGGGGGGCGACGTGCTGGAAGCCTTCGCGCAGGGTGAGTCCATTAAAAAAAAAAAAAAAAAACAGTGCCTTTGAGGTAAGAAAAATCAAATCTGTACTCTACGGGACTTCATCAAAACAAAAATTATCGTTTCATATGACGACAAGAATGAAGCAGATTGTGCATCATGATCGTTCAATAAGCATTGCGCCGCTCATTCTGCTGTGCACGTCTTGGCCACCAGAGGCAGTCTAATACATACGATATGGACATCTGATGATGCAACATCAAAACACCGTTGCTGCAAAATTGCAGACTCCGTGATGTCACGCACCACCCCAACAGGCCCCGCCTCTTAAAGGCACTTGAGCACAAACGCTTGTTTATAGTGCGCCAGAGGGTAAAAGCGTAACTAAAAAAAAGTTGTCTTTTTTGTGTGTGTGTGTGTGTGTGTGTGTGGTTGACTGATTGGAATCACGATTTGGTTTTTTGGGTGTCAGGTGTCCCTCGGAATCTGCGTAATGATCTGCTCGTGGCTGCTGACTCCATCACCAACACGATGTCGTCACTGGTCAAAGAGCTCCACTCAGGTGAAATCACGCAAAGCATATTTAGGAAAAACATGAAATGATTTTTTTTTTTTAAGTAATTTTTTTTTTCGGTGGGGTTTTTTTTTTCTTGAAGTGGACGACGGGGCAGATGAGGAGGAGACGAACATGAGAAATGGAGGGGAGAGAGGTAAGCCCCAACAAAACTCTCAATGCTTTATATGCTTGAATGACACGCCACGCAAAACCGGTCGCTCATTCCTCCAAGTCTTCTTTTTTCTTTGCGTTCGCATTTAAATGGCTATCCTGTACGTTGTATCAGATCCTTTAAAATCAACGCTGGTTGGGGTGCTTTTATTTGTAGCAACAGCAGTTCTGTTCCTCATGGATGGATTTTTTTTTTTTTTTAATAAATTGCCGCTTCTAATAATAGCATGCCCTTTTGTGTGCATATATCTTTTCATGTGTCCTGCGTGTTTTTGTGTGCAGGCGCCATGCGAGTACAGAAGCAGTGAAGCAAGAGCCGGTTCATCGTCAAAACGGGAAACAATCAGTAATGGCGACGGCGACGGCGACGACGACGACGACGACGGCCGCCAGGCATTAGCACATTAGACCACTGCATGCTGTAATCCAAACAGGAGACAGAAAAAAAAAGAAAAAAAATCGGGACACCTCGCAGCGCAAGCAGGAGGTATCGAATTAGCCCGTGTGTTGTCCTGTAAGCTCAAACTCGTTCTGTACATATTGACCACGCCCAATATGGCTCCCGTCGCATCGCGTTAGCTTTGGGTCTTTTTTTTTTTTTTTAAATCATTTATTTATTTTTGCATGAAGCGACACTCACGTCTGCTTTTTGTGTGCTTGCTACGGCCGCACTTTGTGGCTTTTGCCACACTTGGAGGCTCAGTAAGAGTTCGGGCCAGTCATCCAACTCTTGCAATTGAGCGCCGTCCGTCTGTCCGGAGGTTAGCACATTTTTTTCATCGCACACATTTTGCCTGCAATGTTAAAAAAAAAAAAAGTGAAATCAAAACATATAAAATATGTCAACAAAGATGGACAGAAACGTTCTTGGGCCGGATGTGATTTAAACAAATCAAACAAAAGAGGCAATTTTGCATATATTTAATTTCTGCCGTTGTCTGTAAAACACGGCGCGCAGGCCACGTTAGCTGCTCCACTGCTGCTACTGTGTACAACACAGCAACACAAGCGAGGACCCTTCACTTGTGTTCTGAGTGCGGTGTGCGCTTTTCCTGAATGACGCAATGAGGCGAAATGTGCAATTAAAGTTCAGCCCGGTGCTCAGGGACTGCAGAGCTGCAAAATGGGAGCGGGTGAAAAAAATTCTGTAAGTAATCCATCACTTCAGTAAAAACGTGTTTTTTTTTGGGGGGGGGGGCTATGGGGGAGTGTTTTGAAGTGTGTTTTGGTGAAGCATGTTGTCTATGTCGCAGTTTGTGTTTTGTGTCTTTTTCCGACGATTTTGCCGGATTGCTGCGTGAAAGCGGGGAAAAAAACGAAACGCAACGCGTTCCGAGTACACTTTTCGGGGCGTGAAGCTCAAATGTGTTGAGCTGGACCACAAAGCGTTGAGAGCAGGGGTGGGCAAAGTACGGCCCCCGGTCCACATTTGGCCTGCTCCGTTTTTTTCTGAAATGTGTTCGTTCGATTACATTTAAAACATGCTTGCATTTTTGTTCTCTATTTTATGTTTATTTTCATTGCTTTTGTCCTTTTTCTGTCCCACTTTTTCTTTCTTTTTTCCTCTGTTTTCTTGAAAGAAGAGAGAGAAATATTCTATGAATTGATTCCAATTAAGTTATACTGCAAACGGAATTAAAATAATTAGGATTACATTTTTATTTTTTTAATTGAATTAAAATAACTTAAAATCATTAATCAAAGTAAATATCTTCATTAAATTGACCGCTTATCATTTTTTTATCCTTTATATCAATCATACATAAATAGAATTGGTTTTAAAATGTATCTAATGTCATATTTCATTTGTTGTAAAACAGGTTTGTCTTTTCTTTCTCTTCTCTTTTATCTCAAAAAAAGTAGAATAACACTTTTAAAATTAATAGTGTAATTGGATTCATGTAAATAATTATTTTTTTATTTATTTGCATTCAAAATGAATTCAACTAAATTTAGCATTGTTTAAATTTAATGATTTAAATAATAGGCTATTTTTGACTTCTTGTAAATAACACAATTAAAAAGTGGTAACATAATTTGACACACATTATTTTCTCAAAAACATTTTTTTAAATGATAATTACATTAACTATAAATGGTGAAATAAAAAGTGGGAATGAATGACTATATATTTGTATGTTTTTTTTTTTTAACCTCATTTTTGAATGTCCTGTTCCATCTTTCCTTCTCAAAAACAAAAAATGTGGCCCTTCAATAGAACAATTTGCCCACTCCTAATTTCTGGAGTTCGGCACCTTTTATAAGCACCATCCACTGTGTTCGGAAAAACAACAACAAACAAAAACAAAATTTCCCCTTTTTTATTGATTTCACTTTGTCTTGCTTTTTTGTGACTAAATTGGTTGTCTTGTCGTCAGTCTTGACTTTTGTGCCAAAACGGAATGTCTGCATCCAAATGTGTGTGTCGGTGTCACCTTTAATCATTCACACAATGCCTCGACATGCTCGCATTTAAATGGAAGACGCTAGAAAAAAAACGACTTTATTTACTGAACAAGCAGACACGGTGGAAACACAAGCAGAGGGGTTCTTTTTTTTTCATACAATGTGCAAAAAGTTATTTATTGAAGTCTATCTGTGTGCGCGCGTATGTGTGTGTGTGTTTATGCTTCTGCTGTACATTTGGTTTCATTTTAAAACACTTAACGTGTCACCGCCATTCATTTTGTAAATAAATCAAATGTGAGATATTAAAAACAGATTTAAAATAATGTTTGGCGGTAATGTTGGCCTTTGTCACGAGGTACTTCGGAAAATCTCGCGAGACGTTCCAGGCTACTCAGTTGCAACATATCTTAAGTGGACAAGAGCAACAAGCTGCATGTCACCTCGTTCATCACATAAAAGGTGAGTGCAATTTTTTTTCAAGAGTTCTTTTATTCATTTATTTCTTTTTAGGTAAGAAAGTGTTATAGTATTCGTGTTTGAATTTTATAGCTGATAGAACCCATTGGGGGAAATTATTTTTAAAAACACAATTTGTGATTTTACCAAATAGATGTAAACAAAGTTGCAAGAAAAAGCATGTGAACAAATGACCTATATTAGAGGATCTGATCATCACCAAAATCAAAATAGACAGTTACCACACAAACTGTTTTTACACGCACTTTTTTTTTTGCATGGCGGGAAAAGTATGGGAACACGAAATTGCTACCCTGTTCTTAATACAAAGTTGTTGTCAGATAAAATCATGGATATGTATAATTGTTGAGTGGTATTACGCTGACTGTTGAGGATCAAATAACATTATGAAATAGGTGTCGTTCCAAAAGGTGCACATTCTTTTTCTCCCAACTGTCGGATGCAGTATTAAGCTTTCCCACAGCCAGCCGCCAGGGGCCGACCAACATCATTTTGTGTCACTTATTTTATTTTATTTTTTGTAACCTCACCTTTTGAAAGCTTAGATCCAATTTCCTGATATAATCCGGTGCAGTTAATCCATTATCAACCAAATAGTTTATGGTCAAATACAATTAAAACATTAATAAACGAAAAAGCAAAACGCCCGCGTTAATTGTTTTAAAGCGCAAGGGCGTTTTAATGGGGATAATAAATCACATTTAAAGCGAAAGCACAACCGAGCGCTGAATCCAGCAGTTATAGGTTGGATTGTGAGCGGAAACATTTCGGGCGTTAGGACCCGGCGGCGTCCCACCGAAGCGACGCGCCGGCCCCGCTGCAGCCAGCGAGAACCAGAGAGCGAGCGGAGCATCTGGAGGAGCTGTGACCGGCGAGGGGAGGCGGAGGACGGGGAGAGAAAGAGAGAGAGAGAGAGAGAGAGGAAGGAAGGCAGGAAGGAGGCTCCGGGAGGACGAGACGAGAGGGGAGGAAGAAAAAAACGGAGGCCCTCTCTGGACGTGGGGGGACATCGGGTAACGTGTTCGATTCCCTTAAGTCCGTTTACGGCCTGGAGAGGGGAGGGTAGAAGGAAGAGAGGCGAGGGGGGCGCCGTGACGGGGTAGCGGAAAAGGAGCACATTTACTAGGCGGAAGGAAGGAGGAGGTGGCTGACTGACTGACTGGCTGGTGGGTGGGTGACATTTGCAAACACTGGACAGCTTGAAGTGAAGAAAAAGATGCACCGCGAATGACCTCGCGAAACGCTGACGAGCAGGGCCTGGAAGAAGAGCCCCCAATCCCGCGGGTCTGATTGCAGCCAGCCCCGCCCCCAATACTTCCCCCACCCCCACCCCATTCCTTCCTATGATCGATGTTACTATATCGGTTAATTTTCAGTGACTGACACCTTTCGTACCCTCCTGTCAGCATCAAAACCGACACGGAGCAAGTGAACGCATCACCTGTGCCATTTTTTTAAAGCACTCGAACGTTCCGTTCCGTTGCACAAGGAATTTTGACTGACACATTTAAAGGTACAGTAATGTGTGCTCGAATACTTGTGCTAGTCCCTAAAAGACATTCAGAAATCCTTCCTGTGCACACTCTCAAAACTGCTGGGTCCAAGGTAATCCACATTGGATGAAATAGCTAACCCAGCACTGGGTCCAAAAGGGGCAGAGCCAACGTTGGGCTATTTACAGCCAGTTCAACGGGTTGAGGATTTGCCCCCAGCATATTGGGTGAAGATTTTGATCCAGAAGGGGTAAAAACTACCAATTCTAAAAAGTTAAACTTCCAGAGCAATGGTTTACCTGGTTATTATCATAATTACCGTTTTCTCAGAAGAAGAAATTTTCTCCTATCGTGGGGTTGCCACACTCTTAAAACTGCTGGGTCAAAAATAACCCAATTTTGGTCAAAAATGTTAACAATGGCTACTTGGGTCAGTTTGACCCAACTTTTTGGGTTATTTTGTACAAAAAAAAAAAAGCTGTGTAAAAAAACTGTTCAAAACATACTGTATCATGTGAATGACTGACACATGTAACACTGCTAGGTCAAAAAGAACTAAATTTTGGACAAAAATTATACTGACTTGTTGTTACTTGGGTCAACTCGAAAGTCCATCGTAAGTCACTTGAGAACACCTGCATATACTTATGCATCAGTCAGTCGAAGGATTTTTAGCCTATAAAGACCTATTCTTAAAAAAAAAAAATCTTTTTATTTTCCAGGAGAGGAGTGAAGAGGGGTCATCTCATTTTTTCAGTTCTTTTTTTTAAACCACTTTTTAGTAAAAAAAAAAAAAAAAAAAAAAATTTGAGTTCACTATCCACCATCTCCCGCCCCGCTCAACATGCCCTCCAATGCCGTTGTGGCTGCATTCAAAAGCTCTGACTCGACGGGAAGCAGGATGGTAAGAAAACACACTCACAAGTGTTTGTTTGTTTGTTTGTTTGTTTTTCCCCGACCTACCTTTTTCAGATGTACGGCCTTTTCACACTGCACTTTGCAACACGCAGGGCGCTGTCAACGAATACATTCGTTGTGAATGTGCTGAGGGGGCGGGACTATGGGATGCTGTGTCGGGATGCAGTGGGAGGGTATTTTCTGTCTGGAGGTGTGCCTCAAAATTAAAAATATTTCACTTATGAATGGCGTCCCGGTGACGTGAGAAAGTGCCTGTTTAAAAAAAAAAAAAAAAAAGGCTTTGTGTCCTCAAAATTTCAAGTAGGGCATTCCAACAAAAATATTTTACATTTTGCGAATGTGGAAATTGTCTTTCCTGCATTTTTAACAAAGAAATAAGAGTTTACTGGAGTAATTGTCCCTTGTATTGTTGCCCAACATATATATCTGATGGAAAACAACTCGACAAATTGGACGGTGGCACGCCAAGGCAGCTCCGTTGCTAGCGTGACTTACCCGTGATGGAGTACTGCCAAAAATGAAATGTTACCGGTTTGTTGTTGTATCTTTTGTCATGTACAATCAATCCAAATTTTACCCGATGACATTACGGTTATGTTGTCGCCGATGGTCACAGCTACAAAAACGACATGGGTGAGCTTCACTGAATGCAAAGGCTGACTTTGACCAAACTTTGATGTGAGAGGCCATCGTTGGCCAAAGTGTAAATCCTCTCACGTAGGGGTTGCTTTTGTTGAACTTTTCTGAAGTTAAAATATTTTTCCGTGGAATTTGATTAAGAGCAGCTGCAAAAGCCTATTTTTGCCAAAACTTGTCCATTGTTGTCCAAATCATGTCTTATCACATTGCACTGGTTTTGTCGAACTTTGTTTGACTTCCTGTATGGGACGCTCTCCAAGTCCCGTATCGTACGCATCGTCGTATGCGATGGCGCCTTGTGACGAGGGCGTTGGCTAGCGTCGAAGAGGGAAGAGGACCTGGCGGGTGAAGGTTGGCGGGGAGGTTTGCGTCCTCTTCCTCCCGCGTTTCCATGACACAGTACAGCCCTTGTTGCCTGGCAACAGCTTTAATCAGCGGCTACTCGGACAGAAATAGTGCACAGTCGGCGCGGTAGTGGTACCCCCGGGCTGCCACACAGCTTCCTGGTGTTTGTTTGTTTTCTCCGCCACCATCTTCCTCCCCCTCCTCCTCCTCCTCATCCTCCTCCTCCAAAACCGGGTTGAAGCCGAGTGTGAAAATGGCGTTTTGTTTGTTGTTGTGCTGACGAGGTCGCCGTGTGGCTGAGGATTGAGTCATCCCGTGCGTAACCTTCAATAAATCTCACGGCATCCCAGCAAAACAAGACGGTCATAAAAAGTCCATACACCGGTTAATTGTGTACTTCTTGCCGTCGAACTGTTACGTCTGTCGCAATTTGTCACTGGCATAGATAGGTCGCCAAAGATGCGCTACTTGTAGGAAATAATAATTAAATCATTACAAATCAACTGTTAAATCAATTTTTTTTTTAAATAGTCGAAGAAAGAATGTTAGCAATGAGCATTTAACATTTGTTTTTTGTATTTTATGAAATCATTTGTCACTTCATTCGAAACATGTTAAGCCAGTGAAAAAAATTGAATGGGTTGTGCTTTTCCCACTCGCGCCAAACGGCGACTTCTCGTTGAAATGATACAATACCAAGCGTACGGTTGTCGTTGACAGGATGACAACGCCACAACGACGGACGCCGAGCCCGCGACGGACGAGGCTCACACCCTGAACGTCGCCGGCAAGCCGGCGCGGAAACGCACGCATCTCACAGTGAGTACGAATACAGTGGTACCTCGAATTACGTACGTCTCTTCATACGAAATGTTCAAGTTACGAAACGCCTCAACAGGAAAATATTGCCTCTTGTTACGAAAGAAATTTCAAGATACCGAAAGTACGGGCTGCTACTCGCAGCTCCGAGTTTCCTGAACGTAACATACTTGGAGCTGCTCTGCCATTGGCTAGCCCCGAGCATCACCACCCGGGCTGGATGGCCCTTCAAATACGAACATGTAATTAACATTTTTGTGTGTAGAAATTTGAGGTGGAAAAAAAAAATTGTAATAATCGTTTTGAATAAGGCTGTAATATAGCAAAATGTGGAAAAAGTGGAGCCCTGTAAAATGATTTTGGAAGCACTGTGTGTGTATGTCACAGATAGAGCAATACTTTCATGAATCATTTTAAGAGCGGACGGCCCGCTAGTCCAGTGGTTAGCGCATCGACCTCACAGTGCAAAGTTTTTCAGAGCCGAGTGTATGTCACAACCTACAAAATATTGTAACATAATGTAAAAAAAAAAAACACAAAGTTCAACGATTATTTGCCAGTGTCATTGATATTGAACATTTTTTCCACTTTTGGAACAACAAAAATGTGTAAAAGGTGCAGGTGCTTGTGAACACTTTACAAATGCACCGCCACAGAAGTCCAACGCTGCAGAAACGTGATTTAACGCCCTCATCCTTTCCCAGACGGGAAGCGTCAGCGGCTCCTTCCAAGATGGCATCCGCGGCCACCCCGGGGCTCTGACGGCCCACTACAACGGCGACGCGAGCGCTCACCTCCGAGGCAGGACGTCGGACGCCTGCGTCCCCAAGTCAGACAGGAGGGAAGCGGAGAACGGGATCCTCAGGGAGCTTTCCTCCTCCTCCTCCACCTCCTCCTCCTGCTCTTCCTCCTCTTCTTCTTCCTCCTGTCGGCCAGATGACGGCGTCCAGCATCCGTGTCCCGGCGAGAGGGACGAGCGGACGGCGCCGCACAAGAAGCGAGGGAGGCGGAAACTGGAGAGACCCACCAAATGTGAGTTGTTAGCGTGACTTCTGGAATGGATGCCAACATGTGGAATCATTTATGAAAATTAAAAATGTGTGCATTGCTATCCTTTTAAAGGCACATTTTAACTCCTCTCATTATGTTATACTCTACGTTTAACAAAAAAAAAAAACCCTAATAGGTTAGTTTGTATCATTGTTTACGTTTATACTGCGAATCAATATTTTTCAATGTTAATATTTTATAATTAGACTTCATTTCTGATTTTTATAGTATAATGGTGAGAAAATATTTAACAGTTCCCAATCCTAATTTTAAAGTTGCGGCTCCTTCCAAGATGGCGTCCGCGGCCACCCCGGGGCTCTGACGGCCCACTACAACGGCGACGCGAGCGCTCACCTCCGAGGCAGGACGTCGGACGCCTGCGTCCCCAAGTCAGACAGGAGGGAAGCGGAGAACGGGATCCTCAGGGAGCTTTCCTCCTCCTCCTCCACCTCCTCCTCCTGCTCTTCCTCCTCTTCTTCTTCCTCCTGTCGGCCAGATGACGGCGTCCAGCATCTGTGTCCCGGCGAGAGGGACGAGCGGACGGCGCCGCACAAGAAGCGAGGGAGGCGGAAACTGGAGAGACCCACCAAATGTGAGTTGTTAGCGTGACTTCTGGAATGGATGCCAACATGTGGAATCATTTATGAAAATTAAAAATGTGTGCATTGCTATCCTTTTAAAGGCACATTTTAACTCCTCTCATTATGTTATACTCTACGTTTAACAAAAAAAAAAACCCTAATAGGTTAGTTTGTATCATTGTTTACGTTTATACTGCGAATCAATATTTTTCAATGTTAATATTTTATAATTAGACTTCATTTCTGATTTTTATAGTATAATGGTGAGAAAATATTTAACAGTTCCCAATCCTAATTTTAAAGTTTATTTTTTTTATTCGTGTCATTTGTGATTTTTAAAAATAGTTTAGTTGTGAGAAACTATTTTAAACTACAGTGTGTGTGTGTGTGTGTGTATATATATATAATGATCAAAATGATATGATTAAAAAAATGAATATATATATATATATATATATATATATATTCATTTTTTTATCATCCAAAATGCGCCTGCATAAAATTTTTTTTTTGTTATTTTAACATTTTTAATCATGAAAACAAAATGTATTTGCGCTCTTTCTAAATTTTCCATAGTGCATGTTTAAAAACTTTTTGTTTTATGATCTAGTTGTATCCAATATAATTTTTTACTGCATTTATAATTTGTAACACTTTAACCCCCCCCCCACCCCCAAAAAAAAAGACTTGCCACATCCTTCCTCATATTTTCCTATAACTACCTGGTTGTAGGAGTGTACATACAAAGAAAGCAATAAATCACGGCGACTCGGTGAGGAGGGAGGCGATGACAGGCCGAGATGGAGATGAAGTGTATCGCGTGCCCACCCGACCCCCCCCCCACACACACACACACACACACACACACAGACACACACACTCTTCCTGAATGTCTTGCTCTCCCTCACTTGCGACCTTGATGAGGAGGAAGAAAAGAAGAAGAAGAGCAGAATAGAGCAGCATAGAGCGCCACCTGGCAGCGAGCCTCCATCGGGACCCCAATTGGCGTTGTGCCCAGAATTGCTCTCCAGCTGCATCCTTTTTTGTGCTCTCTGGTTCTTGGGGGTCTGGAGTTTCAGCCCAAGTTGAATGTCGGGGTGAAAACCTAATCTCAAAACCCTAACCTCGGCTTTGAATCCGAAATCAAAACCCGTAATCCTTTGTTGAAACAAATTCAAAATTATAATTTTTACTTCAAAACCCAGTGCAATTATGAAATGTTAATCAGAAACTGTAACACTGTCTTGAATCCCTAACTCTGAACTCGCTAGCTTGCTCACTCAGTAGCTAATTAGCTCACTTATGATTGCTAATTTGCTAACCTACTCGGTGAGTAAGTCGCTAACTCGCTTTCTCACCCAATTGCTAACTTACTAGCTCACTAACTTGCTGAGTATCTTGATAATTTGCCAACTTACTAGCTCACTAACCCACTTGCTCACTAGCTTACTATTTTGCTCACTAGCCATCTTCTGAGCTCACCATTTTACAAGTTCATTAACTCACTGGGTCACGAACACACAAACTCTCCAGCTCACGAACTCACTTGCTCACGAGCTCGCTACCTCACCAAAAACACAAACTCAGGAACTCACTATTGTTTGCCTGTTACTTTTTTTGGGGTCTTTCTGTCACTCTCAAGGCTACCAAGTGTTTGTCAAGGAAGGGTATGGAAGTTGAGAGGGTTTTTTTCTTGCTTTGTGATTCCATGACCGATAGTGAGTACTTTTAGCAGTAGCGTAATAATTAGTGTTGAGATACAGATTTTTTTTCTTTGCCCCATTATCTATGGGGAAAAAAAGTTGAGGCATTAAAAATACTTACTTGCCACATAGTGTGTTTCTAAAGTTTCTCATCCTAACTCTGCCTTGAAACCCTAGTTTAAGACCCTAACCGTCGCTTCATCCTTCTAAAGCCAAACTTGAAACATTGGCCTAAAATTCTAATTTGAAACCGCAACCCTAGTTTGAAACCCTAATTTCAAACTCTTCACTTTCCCCCACACCCCCAAACCATAATTTGAAAACCTAACTTACCCTTGTTTGAAACCCGATCAGAGGTAAAAATCTTGAAAGCATCTGGGCGCTTCAGACCAGAAGAGGCCAAACGTATTTGGTTTAGCTTTTTGTAGAAATGCCGGCGGAGTAGCAAAGTACAGAAATGGACGACGTGCGGTGGAACTTGTTTTGTCAGCTGCTGTCTCTCAGGGACGAGCGAGACCTCCATCAATCCTAAAGATGATGGTGTTTAAATAAAGCGTCCGGGTAAAAATAAACCAAATGTAAATGTGCAGATGCGGATTGTATTTCCTTGGCCTCGCCTATAATTCATAGAGAGAGATTATACAAGTGAATTGTGCGATTCCAATTTTCCATCCATTTTCTACAGCGCTTGTCCTGAGGGTGGCGGGAAGGATGGAGGTCGCAGCTAACTTTTGCGCAGCGAACCTATGGATCATTTAGATTCCTCACTTAACTCAAGATGACATTTGGCAATGGTGGTAGCTAACAGTTTTTCTTCCTCTGCAGATGTGGAGCACACGGAGGAAGATGACAGCGAAGAGCTTAAGAGCGAGGTAAGAAGACTGCCTTTTGTGATCATTACCATCCCAGGCTACTAGTCAGTTAGCATAGCTTATTTTAAAGACTGGACGGTGGTTGACATTTTGGGATGCCATGGATGAGCTGACCAGTCTGCTTATTCCACATGGATCTCAGGCAACCAAACAATTGAAATAGTTTGGTATAAGGAGTGGAAGCAGGTTATGTTTTGTCAAATGCGATTGAGAAGATGACCAAGAGATGTGCTCGTTCTTTACAAATCCAAGGCTACTAAACAATTAGCATAGCTTAGCACAAAGACTAAAAGCAGGTTCATGCTTTGGGATGTGATTGAGGAGCAGATCCCGAGCTATCAGACCGTTAGCATAGCTTAGCCTCAAGACCAGTTGGGATATGACTTCAAAGCTAATCGATCTTTTCCTTCTCTACCTATTCAGTGCGAACAAGACAGTTAGTGTAGCATTGCACGAAGACAATTAGCTTGTTGATATTTTTGGGAAATGGCTGAAGAGACGACTCAGCTGCTCATTCCGTACAGATCTGGGGCTACTGGCTTATCATAAAGCCTAAAAGCATTTTTGATGTCTTGGTACGCGATTGAGGAGCCAAATGAACTACTTGTTCCATACGTATCTAGAGCTACTAGCCAGTTAGCGTAGCTGAGCTTGAAGACTAAAATCGGGTTGACATTTTGGGGTGCGACCGAGGAGCTGACCGACCTGCTTGTTCCGTATGAATCCTGGACTAGCATAAAGTTATCATAGCTTAGCCTGAAGACAAGAAGAGTGTTGCTACTTGGGGATGCGATTGAGGAGCTGATCAATCAGCTCATTCCGTAAAAATCCAGAGCTACTAGTCAGTTAGCGTAGCTTAGCATAAAGTCTAGAAGCAGTCAGTGGCTCGCGTAACTTCAAACACAACGGTATCCACTGTAAGGAATATCTTCAAACTGAACATGATGTGAAGTGGAATGCCAGATCTTGGCCTTTACGAAAGAAATGGTACCTGGTGAATAAAATGTGGAACGTCAAATACACTTGGGAATTTTTCCACGAATCGTGTCACTGTTGGGGCGGTACAAATCCGCATGCTTTATTTGCGAGAGAATGGAAGAACTAGCTCATTTTTAATTGTTATTTTTTTTTTATCGTTTTTTTTTTTTTTTTTTTTTTTTTTATGTGAACACTCGAAAAACAGGGAGATCGCGGGAGGCTGCGAGGGGGAGTTGGCGGGGAGATCAGCCTTCGTCAGAGGCCCGTGCCCAGAATAACCTTCCAGGCCGGAGACCCTTATTACATTAGCAAGCGGACCCGAGAGGAATGGCTGGCCAAGTGGAAGATGGAGGTGAGTGCCACAGCCACCGCCATCTTAAGGGGGGGGAAAAAAAGTGCAAGGCGGATTTCCATAGACCAGCTGCCAGGGTTTCTAGATGTCGGGCGCTTTACAGCCAAGTGTATTTGATGGCTCATTGGATATCACGAGAAGGTACTGTTGATTTCAGTGAGTTTCCTGGCCAGCGAGGGCTCACATGGTTCCCGCATTTCCTGCCTTTGTGCTCGCAATTGTGTTTGCGGAGGAGGAGAACCAAACTCACATGTAGCTGCGTTGATGTCACGCGCTGGAATGCGTCTCCGGTCCTCTTGTCGTTTTTCGATGGGCGTGGTTGCAGCTTCCTTTGAAGGGAAGCCTCGCTTCATGACAAATTCTCACGCAGTCGGCCTGTCGATGCTCATGTCGTTTGAAAATGTTGACACCGTGCTTCTCAGTGTAAATTAGTCGATATGCATCTGAGACAGGCAGCGCACGGTGGGAAGGTGGTGAGGATGTGTGCTTCACAGTTCCGCTGTTCGGGGTTCTCCAGGAAATTTGGCTTCCTCCCATACTCTCAAAACATTCATGTTGGGTTCATTGAAGACTCTAAATTGCCCTTAAGTGTGAATGGTTGCATAACTGCTTGGTTCGCTAAATGGCCCACTTCGTGGCCATTGGGTGCGTTGACCTATGAGATTTTTTTGTGTGTGTGTGTGTGTGTGTGTGTGTGTGTGTGTGTGTGTGTGCGCGCGCTTCCTGGTTAAATGTCGCTCCCTGTTGTAAAGTGGCTCAACTAGTGTGACTTCATATTTCCATTTCTTCTGCCTTTTGCGACCCCTCCCCCAATACACCGTTCCCCCTACTCAACTCTCCTCAGTGAGCGAGCGCCCGTAAAAACGTCTGGGGGAGGAAATATTGCCAAATTAGCGCGACATACCAGGGTTCCGCAAGTGAATGGCCATGAAATACGAGGCAAGCGAGTCCACTTGGGTTGGGTTTTCCACAACAAGTGGCTCAAGGAGGATGACTGAGCTACAAGCCCAGGACACACATAAACATAAGCGATAACTACACCTCATCATTGATGATAAGTGTTAACCTTTTGAGTTATGCGGGCAAACAAATTTAGCTTTTAGTCTATTGAACCGAACCACATCAATTATGAGCGTCCCTCCATCCGTTACCCGAAGCACTTATCTGCTAGCTTAATGCTAATCCCCAGTGCACTGTAACTAGCATCAACGTTGGGGTAGTTAAAACTCTTCAAGCAATGATGTTTGAACGCAGACAGTGCAGCAACACTTGTAGAGAGACAATATGACAAAACTCGCATTATATTCTTTATCCTTTGTTTTTTTTTGTTTTATCTTGTCCTTCTTGTGCCTGATACTACCTCCTTGGTGGCCAAGGCGTGCCCACCAGAAGTAGCACAATGTGAATGGGTATTGAAAGCATGAAATCATGATGCACAATTATTCCTTTACCATCGATTGAATTATTTTATTTCCTTTTTTTTTTTAATGAAGGGGTGCCTGGAACGAATTAATGTGTCATTGATGAAAGTGAAGTGCCCTGAATACTTTCTTGATGTACGGAATGATTTTATTTCGTTTTTAACTGTTATTTTGGCCACAACCGTATCCTAAAGTTAGAAAATGCAAGGAGGCCACAAGGGTTTTTAAAAATGTGTTTTGCAAGTTTTTAGGCGCCAGGATGCCACTGCATGGCCCACATGGGGGCCGAAGGGGCTTTACCGCACCACAGCCTTTGCATGTTTTTTTTTTTTTTTTTAAATGCGCCTGCTGTTACAGTGGCTCTCCCTCCCCCATTCTTCGCCATGGAAATGACTCCGTGCAGTGCAGATTTTGAAGCGTTTTTGCGGCAAATTCTCAGGCGCTGTGCTCGCAAGACAGCCTCCTCCTGGCCGGCCGCCAGATGCTCGGCGAGTTCTCTCTAGCCAACCAGAAAGGAGTTTGGGCCACCACCTGACCCTGAATTCCCAGACAAAGAAATGTGCATGCCTGTGTGAGTGAGTGGAAGTGAGGGAGCGGGGGGCGGGGGTTGAAAAGAAAAAAAAAAAAAAAGAAAAGAAACCTCCACACTGGCTGGACTATGAGGCTCGTGTTTGGGTAGGTGCACTTGCATTATTTGTTAGCATGCATGGATGGTGATCGACTTGTGTAGAATATGCTGACTGCAGCCATTTGCCAAATGTTGTTGTTGTTCTTGTGTTGTGTGCGCCATCTGCTTGGGAAAGGGAGAATGTGAGCGAGCGTGCGAGCGGGATTCAGTCGAGTTGCTTGGGTGGTGGGAAAGAAAAAAAAAAGTTGTTTCACCCCCACGTGCTGGTCGATACGTGCTGAAACTATTTCCTGTTCCACTGCTGCACCATCTAATGTTTTTGTAGTAGTAGTAGTAGTAGTAGTAGTCACATGCAATACATTCACAATGGATGGAATAGGAAGGAGAGAAAAATCATAGAAGACGTGTAAAAGAAGCATGAGCGTTTCTGTATGGTGGCAGTGAAGTCAACTTGCTTGAAAATAAGGAGCAGTTTGGAAAAGAAATTCTTGATAAAAGAGGCATCAGGCTTTTTTTTTTTTTGCCTCTCCCAGTTGAAGTTTACTGTTAAGCTCAACATAAAACCAAGAGAATTACATGTTGTGCTTTTAAAACAACCTCATCGCATTGTCTTGGGAAACATCGCTTAGCTACATGTTAACAAACACTGCAAAATGCTATTGGTTAAGCATCGATGTTGCGACTTAGGCAGCAGCGGCTGTTTGAACACCAACGGTGAAGCAGCACATGTAGAGATCATTGAACAATACTTTGCAAGCCTACTCGAAGGTCTTTATCCGTAATGAAAAATGACGACGACACGTCCTACCGAGTCACTTAGCAGTACAGGAGTTTAATGGATTAAGAGCTAGCTGTTTGCCAACTAGTTTTCATGAGTGACCAGACACGGCAACGTCGCAGATGTTAACAGCCAATCCGAAATGATTGCCCTGTGGCATTCCGCTTCTTTCTCTACAATCGCGCCATTTGTGGTTCAATAGAAAACTCGATGGAGGGTCGCGGTTTTTCTGTTACTGCATGTCAGTCGATTTGCGGTACTTCATAGAGTTGCCATTTGCATTTTTTTCCCACTTGAGTCACTTTCATCCGCAAATCTCGGTGGCAGCGGTTCTAGGAATGACTTTGCTCCGCGTCACAAGAAGGCGCACTCAGTGACTGCCTTGTTTGACCTTTTTTTGTTTTTCAGCGTTCAGCCACAGGGCTAAGCTGTACGCGAGGCTAACTGCACAGAGCCGTCAAAATCCACGAGCCAAAATGGCTCCCGCTGCATCTTTCCTGCCTGTTGCACTGCAGAGCCCGCAAAGGTCGGACTTCCTTTTGTGCAGCGGCCATGTTTGCACGAGGAAGTTAAAAAAAAAAAAAAAACGTCCTAGCTACGCTACCTGTTTCATCTTCCTGCCGCTGCGGCTTTTTAAGTTCACAGAAAAGGATGCGCGGTGGCATTTTGTCATTTCCGAGGGATTTCCCCCCCCACCTTAGAGTGCTCTGTGTCACCTTTTGAGGCCCCATCGGAGTGAACCCAAGTCGGATTATCAACTCGTCTCAGATCTCTGTGAGAGGCAAAACTCAAAATGGTTAATCCAAATCAGTGGTTCAAATAAGGGTCAGCGTTTCAAATTAGGCTCTTAGGATCGGTTTGGGCGATCAAAAGATGAGCTTTCAAGCCTGGGTTGGGGTTTCAAACAAGGCTCAGGGGTTCATGGTTTGAGATTAGGGTTTCAAAGAAAAGTTAGCAATTGGAATCAGGTTTGGATTGGGTTTCAAACAAGGGTGAGCGTTTCAAATGAAAGTTCCCCGACAAGGTTCGACTTTCAAATTTGGGTTTTAAGCCTTGGTGAAGGTTTCACAGAAGGCTTAGGGTTCTCAATTGGTGGCTTTAAGAAGGGCTAGGCTATGTTGAGACAAGGTTAGGTTTTTAAATTGTCTGTCCTGCCTATTTATTGTCGTGTGTCCCCCGAGTTTATTCGAGGTTCTGAGTGTGAAAACCATCGAGATTGCCTTCATTGTGTCTTTGCTGCTTCTTAACCCCGTTTGGCTTTCAGAAGGGCTCAAGCTAACGTACATTGTTGTCAGGCCCCTGAAAAGGAGACGGAGTCGGGGGAAGTGGGGCTTGAGGCGGGGGGCGGGGGGTCGCATTTACAAGTGGGAGGAAGTTCAGAGACAAAACGGGGCTTCCCATAGGCCAGGGGTGGCCAGATTGTCCATGTAAATATTTCATTCGTAATTAAAAAGGAAAAAATTGTCCTGAAATACTGTTCATTCATTGTCATTTCTTTTGTTAATTACAATCAATCAATTGACCACAATATATACATTTTTCGTGTTTTCCCCCCCTAACCTGAACCCTTCACCCCGATTAATCAACCGGTTAGTTCATTCCTTTTATTTAATACAGTACACGACTCAAAAAAAGCAAACCCCAAAAAAGGTGACGCGTACCTGAAATTGTATTTGGTTGTACGAGCTACTATTTGCTTTGATAATATCATCGAGTCTGTCTGTTTTGGTGCCGGCGGTGCAAGTCTGTGCTGTGATGCACGGGGGAAGCCGGAGCAGCACGCGCAACCGGAGTGCGCCCAGAGGCCCAGCGAGCAAGCAGCACCATGTTGCCCCCCCCCGAGGCTTTGAAGCGGCCAGGCAGGGCTCCACTGCGGATTTTGATAAACCGGCAACGGCCTCTTGATTGAACGGCACGTTTCTACTCCACGGCCAACCTTAAAGGACCAATTTTTTTAGGGGGGGGGGCCCCTGACGCCTGTCTGAGCTTCCCAAATTGCGCAATGTCGGACGTAGAGTCGCATTCATGACAAGTCAGCACAATATGCGGTCGAATTTAGGACAGGGGCTGCGGTTTCAACTGAGGGCTTTCAGAGTTTTAAATGAGGGTTTGACGTTTGAATAAAAGGGTCCAAGCCTGGGTTGTGGGTTAAAATAAAGGCGGGTTTTCAATGAAGACTTACAAGCCACAGCGAGGGTTTCAAATTGGGATTTCAAACCCGGGTCATGGTCTCAAATACAGTAACGGTTTCAGGTTTTAGGTTATGGTCTCAAATGAGGATTTTAATGAATGGTGAGCTCAAGTAAGGCTTTTGGTTTCACCTTAGGGTTTCAACGCCTGGGTTCTGGTTTCAAGCCAAGGTTAGGATTCCAAGTAGTCGTCGTCCTTACCTGTGCTCATCTCTTTGTTCCAGGCAGAGAAAAAGGCCAAACTGATGTCAGCTATGAACACAATAACGGATCCGGACTCAAGCAAGGAACCTGAGATTTCGCCCAGCCAGCGTCTGCCCACTTCCAAAGCGCCTCCGCAGCCGCTACATCAGCCTCCGCAGCAACGCCCGCCTCCAGCGCCTCAGCATCCGCCTCAGCGCCCGCCGCAATCGCAGCCGGCGCAATCGCAACCGTCTCTGCCGCAACAACAAGCGCCTCAACAGCAGCAGCCTACCGATCCGGCCTCACCTACCGTGGCCACCACCCCTGAGCCCGTCGCCATTGCAGGTGGAGACAAGACCTCCCCCAAGGCTGCAGACACCGAACCCGAGTATGAGGTAGGAAGACAACAACCTCGTCTCGCAGCTTTCTATTCTTACTTTTGTCCTCGGGTGACCGGTCGGCCATAAAAAAAAAATACAAAAACACTGTCAAAGGGTGACCAACCAAGCATCTGGTTTTCCAGGGTACAAAAACGCGGGCTTGAGGCAAATAATTTCTAGAAATGGCAGATCCAAAAACTCTGCCACAGGTAATCCTAATCTTTACGAGGTAGAATAACCAGTCTAAAAAGCAAGCCATATTCACAGATGGGGTTTACCAAAACTATCTTGTAGAGACCAGACATCCAGTTTTCCGCCATATAAAAACCAAGAAGTTATTTCTAGATATGGCGTAAACAAAAACCACAGATCCAATTCTACGGGTTGCAGAAACCTTGATTTCCCATGAATAGTTTCCATCAACGTCAAATGTAAAAGAACCGTTGAAGGGTGACCAAGCATCTGCTTTTCGAGGATACAGCCCCCTGGATTCGTGGCAAATAATATCCCAAAATGCCGGGTACAAAAACCTGCCAAAAGATGACCGCACCTTGTCTTTCCGGGGTGCAAAATCCAGGATTCAAAGAAAGTCATTTTGAGCAACAGCATTTATAAAAACTTGTCGCGTGACCAGACACCTGGTTTTCCGGCATCCAAAACCCAGATCGGAATGAATCTGGACTGGCGGATACAAAAGCCTTGTCAACCCGAGACCCCGTTCGAGCCACTTAACATGCCGTCATGTGACATTTGCAGGACGATCGCGGTTTTGGCATCGGCGACCTGGTCTGGGGGAAGCTGCGAGGCTTCTCGTGGTGGCCGGGACGAATTGTGTCCTGGTGGATGACGGGACGGAGCAGAGCCGCCGAGGGGACCAGATGGGTCATGTGGTTCGGAGACGGCAAATTCTCAGTGGTGACTATTTCCTTTTTGTCCCAACTCTCGACATTTGGAGCGAGTTTCGTGGAGCGCTGGTCACGTGAACGTTTTCCACCTCTTCTTTTTCAGGTTTGTGTTGAGAAACTCTTGCCCTTAAGTTCCTTTAACAATGCCTTTCACCAGCCAACTTATAACAAGCAGCCGATGTACAAAAAAGCAATCTACGAGGTGCTACAGGTAAACGCCGACAAAAAAAGTGCATGTGCAACATTGTCAGCAATAACTATGATGAAATCAATGGTTGGCCTTTCGAATCTGGGTTGCAAATTCATATGAGGGATGCAGTTAGAAGGGTGGGTTTGAGTTTCACTGTCGGGTTTGAAGACAAGGTCAGGATTTCAAGTCAGGCTTCGGATTTCAAATCAAAGTTTCAGGCCCGCGTTACATTTTCAAACAAAGTTGAGGGTGTTCAAGTAAGGATTCGAACCAAGGTGGGGATTTCAAGGGCGGGGTCTGAAATTTTGGTTTTATATATTTTATTTGATTTATCTATTTATTTGGACATTGAGACAGTGCAGATTAATCAACACAAGAATAAATAAACAGTGTAAATGCGCCAAACCTAGCATAAATGCTAGTTTTCGGCCGTCGTCCCAAAGGCAAGTTTCTAAAATGGCACAGTGAGACACATAAAACTTTAAGACCACAATGACAGAAATAAAAACCAAGTAGGTCATGAAAGAAACAATACAAACAGTTGCAATACTCAATTACAAGACAAAAGACCAGGACAGACAAATCGCTGAGAACTACAAATTGGTTGGCCAGTCAAAATTTTCAGCAGGGGTTTACGATTTCACGTTTGCATGTCAAGGCTGGGATTGGCCTTCAAACATGGCTTAGTGGTTGACATTCGTGTTTCAAGCTTAGATTCTGGTGTGAGTTCATTTCGTCTTCATCCTCATCCTCAAATCCTACAACTTGTTCCGAGCAACGTGTGAGCCGCAGGGACGGGCTTATTTGCGCCTTTGTGCTGTGAACTGTGATCCCAGGTGGCCAGCGGACGGGCAGGCAAAGCCTTCGCGCTCCGTCCGGCCAGCGACCACAGCGATACTTCCAAATCTGTGGAACTTCTAAACAAGGAGATGATCCAATGGGCTACGGCCGGGTTTCAGCCGACCGGTCCCAAAGGCTTGGAGCCGCCGGAGGGTAAGAACAAGAACCAGAAGGCAAAGTCGAGTTTTTGTAGCTTTCAAGCCAGGGTTAGGGTTTCACATCTTAGTTTCATTCCTGGGGTTGAGGCTTCTTACCCCGTGAAGGAATGAAGAATGGTTTGCTCCATGTTGAACCCCGCAGAGGAGCGCAACCCGTACAAGGAGGTCTACCCGGAGATGTGGGTGGAACCAGAAGCCGCCTCCTACACACCGCCGCCGCCGCCTGCTAAGAAGCCTCGAAAGAGCAGCCAAGAGAAACCCAGGGTCAAGGACATCATCGACGAAGGAACGCGAGGTTAGAGTTTAGTTTCATGCAAATTGTCACCACACCTCTTATACTGAGTCCTGTGGCGTACCGCAGGGATGTCTTCTAGACCCTTGCCTGCTTCTGACTCACATAAACGTTTTCCAATTTTCTGGCCGCCTTTTGTAGGGCCTTAAGTTCCGGAATATGCCTCAGTTTTTCAAATCGACAGTGCAGAGAATTCACAAACATATATTATGATTTAGTTACTGGTTTGGTCTCTCACGTGCCGTGTTAAGGAATGCGGGAGGCGAGCCTACACCGCACGCAGGCTGGTGTCTCGTTGGCTGCAAAGCGCAAGCTGCACGTGATCATTTTCTTTAATCGACAACGAAAGGCATTGATCGCGAGCCGACGATCAATTGGAGCCCCGCTAGTTTCAAGTTATGGGTTTTAATCAAGGGTTAGGGTTCCAAGCCAACGTTGGGGTTTCTAACCCGGGGGGTCAGGCTCTCAAACAAGGGTTAGGGTTTCAAATTAGGGTGTAAAGCCTAAACACCATTTCCGCCAATCAACGTGAAGTGGTGCGGAGTTGTCTGTCATGACAGGACGCACTAAAAAGCCCCACGCCCAAAATCGAACCACATCCAACAGACCGCGACGATGTCCCATTGCTATTTCAGAGCGACTCATCTACGAAGTCAGACAAAAGTGCCGCAGCATCGAAGGTAAGTCAGGCAAACCGTCACGTGCGCGTCGCTTGTCGTCGTCGTACCCCTTGACATTGTCAATCCACTCCGCACGCAGACATCTGCATCTCCTGCGGGAGTCTGAATGTTAGCCTGGAGCACCCGCTCTTTGCGGGAGGAATGTGCCAGGGCTGCAAGGTGAGACACTCGGCGCCAACTACTGGCCACTTCCAAATCCTGCAGCCCGTACGAGTCACTCCCCTGCCCGTCGCCGATGCGGTATTTTTCAGAACTGCTTCCTGGAGTGCGCCTATCAGTACGACGACGACGGCTATCAGTCGTACTGCACCATCTGCTGCGGCGGACGGGAAGTGCTCATGTGCGGGAACAACAATTGCTGCCGGTAAATTGTGACGCACCGCGATGTCCTCTACGAGTACAGTGTTACCTCTACTTACGAACGTCTCTTCATTCGAAACTTTCAAGTTACAAAACGCCTCAGCAGGAAAATATTGCCTCTTGTTACGAAAGAAACTTCAAGATACGAAACGTAAAAATACATTATGGTCTGCTACTCGCAGCTACGAGGTTCCTGAACGCAACATACGTATAGCTGCTCTGCTATTGGCTATTACCGGCATCCCATTGGCTAAGAGGGAACGGATTAGGGCATTCACATGGAAAACGTGTCTCTACTTACAAAAATTTCTAGTTCAGAAATTTCTTCCAGACCCAATTAATTTCGTAAGTAGAGCTACCACTATAAACAGTGCCGATATGGGGTGGGTGCACCGTCGGGCCCAATGGATCCTGATTTTTTTTTTTTTGGCAGAATAAAAATCTGATAACCGATTAATCGGACGATTAATGAAAAAAATATAGGAGTTTTTTTTTTTTTTTTTTAAATTGTGGTTCCCTCAAGCTACCAACAAAGATATGAATTACAGGCAGAACGTGAGACGGCTTAACAATGCCCGCATCCTTGAAGCATTTCATAAAAATGTAACAAAAAATCCCAGGTGCTTCTGTGTGGAGTGTGTGGACCTCCTGGTGGGCCAGGGCGCCGCCCACGCCGCCATCAAGGAGGACCCGTGGAACTGCTACATGTGCGCTCCCAAGGGGGCGTACGGCCTTCTGGAACGTCGCCCCGACTGGACCTGCCGCCTGCAGCATTTCTTCGCCAACAACCACGACCAGGATTTCGTAAGTGACACGCGCCGCGGTGGCCCGCGATTGTGCCGGTGTGATGGATGGATGGATGATCAAGTCTCACCACGTGGTTTTATTGCAAGCATTTGATGCGTACGGTAAGTATTTGACATTATTTGCTGTCATGCGCCGTTGACATGAAATGCGGGAATCATAACACAACATTGACGTCATTTGCCATCAACTGTTTTTTTTGTTTTCCTTTGTCAATGTTGTCAAATGTAAAATTGTGACACTGCTCATTGTAAAGACGTTATTTTGCCATCCGTGGCACATTTTCAACATTGTTCGTGGTATTTTATCGAAGAAAACAACTGTTCATCGTCACCGGTGTGAAAAAAAAAAAAAAAATCTTCTTTTCTGCGCTTTCTCACCCGAAAGAAGTGATTTGCATGAAACCACCGCAAGATTTACACGTGGTAACGGCGCGTTCTCGCATTGTGCCACAGCAACCGGCAAAGCTTTACCCGCCCATCGGGGTTGAGAAGAGGAAGCCAATCAGAGTCCTGTCGCTCTTCGACGGGATTGCAACGGGTAAGACGCGCACGCAATTTTTTTTTTTTTTTTTTTCCTCGTTGATCCAAATGCTTCTGGCGGATTGCCCGCCAAAAGATTTTGTTGCCCGTTGAAATGTATTCGCCGGCGGGGACGTGGGGTGGATGCCCTTTTTACGCGCCTGCTTTTGCTGCATAAGCGCTGACGGACCTTCTTGCGGTGCAGGGCTGCTGGTGCTGCGCGAGCTGGGCATCCGGGTGGAGCGCTACGTGGCCTCGGAGGTGTGTGAGGACTCCATCACGGTGGGGCTCGTCCGGCATCAGGGCCGCATCATGTACGTGGGTGACGTCAGGAACGTCACGCGCAAGCACGTGAGTTTGTCCCATTCCGACTTTTGGCAAGTTTTTTTTTTTTTTTAATGGCATGATTGAGAATTTTGTTCGCGGTAGTGTAAAAAAAATAGCATCAAAGCAATAGTTCTGCTTAAAATGCATCCTTTCACAAAAAGCTCTTTTCCTCAGAAATTCCATTGGAAACGATTATTTTGCAAGAAAATATTCAACAGCTGTTTACTAAAGAATGGTCATTGGTAGATTTTTTTATTCCTGATAAAAGAAGAGTGTTCAGGGTTTCTTTTGGTCGGTTCTACGCTGATATAGCTCCAGAACTCGATTTTCTGTCAGCCTTTGAAATGTCCAAAATGGCTGCCACCGACTTTCCCAATTTGAGGCAAATGGCTGCCGTTAAAGAGTTCAATTATGTGGTGTCGTGTGTCCTGAAAGTTATCTGCTGTCCGTGTGTCTTCACTCTGCAGATCCAAGAGTGGGGTCCATTTGATCTGGTCATAGGCGGAAGTCCATGCAACGACCTCTCCATCGTCAACCCCGCGAGGAAAGGCCTTTACGGTGGGTGGAAAAGCGCTTCGTCACATTTCGCTCTTGCTCAATCCGCAAAGCATCGTTGACGTCTGCGTGGACCGTGCGGCCGCAAAAGAGGGCACGGGCCGCCTGTTCTTCGAGTTCTACAGGCTGCTGCACGAGGCTCGGCCCAAGGCCGGGGAAGAGCGGCCTTTCTTTTGGCTCTTCGAAAACGTGGTGGCCATGGGCGTCAGCGACAAGAGGGACATTTCTCGCTTTCTGGAGGTACGCTCTCCCAATCACCGGCACCCACACGATTTGCCCCTATTACGTCATCTGGTGTGCCTCGGGGAAATAATCACCAGTACCAAACAATAGACTGACGCCCCCTAGTGGCACCAGATATTAGCTGTACCCACGGTCCAAGCTGAGCCAACGCGCTCCACCAACAGCAATTAATTACAAAAACATTTTTAGTTACAAACATATATTGAAACAATTATGTACGGGCATCCCCCCCCCCAAAAAAAAATCTTTAGCATTTTCACAAATTCCCATTGTAAACCTGCTTAACAAACTAACATTTAATCCCCCCAAAAATGATTTTTTTTTTGAATGTCCCATATCAAAGTGGCCTTCAAAATGTCACAGTGTCAAAGTTGTAACTTAAAATGTTCTTTCCTGACATATTTTGTTGTTTTTTTTGTGCGTGTGTTGTCATTTTCGTCCGATCGTCAGTGCAACCCGGTGATGATCGACGCCAAGGAAGTGTCGGCCGCCCACCGCGCCCGCTACTTCTGGGGTAACCTTCCTGGCATGAACAGGTCGGTGGGTGAATGGTGAGGGAAATCATCCACGTGGACTCAAACACGAAGCCGGGATTGTTTAGATAACCTTAGTTGCCATTTTTATGATTTCACACACTTGTTGTGACGCTTTTGCCAAGACGAGCCACGACGCCCGTAGTCCCGCAAGCGGGCTGCCCGCTGAACACGAAACTGGAAATGAGGCTCGGTGATTGTTTGCTTTCCATTGAACGGTCTTAAGCTAAACCGCTTCCTCCTCAGGCCTCTGACGGCCATGCGCAATGACAAGTTGGACCTGCAGGACTGCTTAGAACACGGCAGAACCGCCAAGGTGTGCCATCGCGTGATAGCCGGACCCTCGGCGCGGACATTTTCGCGCGGCCCCAAAACCTCTCGCTTTCTTTGTCTTGTTTGTCAGTTTGACAAGGTGCGGACCATCACCACCCGGTCCAATTCCATCAAGCAGGGCAAGGACCAGCACTTCCCCGTCTTCATGAACGAGAAGGAGGACATACTGTGGTGCACCGAGATGGAGAGGCAAGCGTCAACCAATCTCTGAACAACCAAAACTGCATTTTATGACCGACCGAACCGACCGCGTCATTCCCATGAAATCTTAAATCAGGCGTGTCCATGAAAAACGATACCTTCGGTTTCTAATCGAATGGCTGTCATTGATGTTCTGCCTGTCAATGCTCTTTACCTCACCGACGGGTGAAACTTTGTTTTATTGATGCTTTTTTTAATGAATTACAGCATAAATTGTTTGTAAACACCAAATTCACAATCGAAAACACGTTTTCTCGCATTTTTCTGGCAAAGTTGATCAAACAGTATCAACAGGGGTGGACAAAATGCACTTCGAGTACTACATTTGCGTTATTCAAATGAAAAAAAGTGCCTGCTTGGTACTGAATCTATGTAATTATTGTCACTGTTGTACTGCCAACACTCGGTGTCTATAAACAATCAAAGTGACAAAACGAGATTCACCCCATCATCTTTATCTTCGACTCAAAAGCTGTGCTGATCATAAATCCAAACCCATGTAATGGCGCCGTCTACCTGTTCGTCATAAAAGCGGTTTCATATTGACAAGCCGGGCTCGGCCCTTTTCCGTGTCGAGTCGTTGCAAAACGTACTTGACGAATATATCCAGCAGTGGCAGTGAATGGTTTGATCCTGTTTGATGATGTGTTTGGCTACGGTATGCTCATTATTTTTTCTTTTCCAGAATCTTTGGCTTCCCGGTCCACTACACGGATGTGTCCAACATGAGCCGACTGGCCCGGCAACGTCTGCTGGGACGGTCGTGGAGCGTTCCCGTCATCCGCCATCTTTTTGCACCACTCAAAGATTACTTCGCCTGCGTTTGAGCGCCCCCTTTTGACAGCCCTTTAAGCGGCGTCAGAGCCTTGAGCCTCCGAGGTTTCCCGCTCGGAATTCTCTTCAGTGTAGACTTCCCATGTTCTATTTGTTATTCTTATTTATTTTATTTTTTTTAGCAGTGTTATTATCGCCTTGATTTAGGTTTTCTTTTTTTTTTTTTTTGCGTGAGCTATACTTGAGACTATGCTTTCGGAGAAGAGCTAAACATGGGGTGACCGTACTGTACTTTTTTTAAAATTTTTTTTTTGCCTAGCTTCTGGCGTAAAGGGAGCTCTCCGAATCCAAAAAAACAAAACAAAACAACAAGATCACATATACCTCGTCGTTTACAGCTTCTGAAGGTAATACAAAAAAACAACAAAAAAAAAAAAAAGGTACTACTACTACTACTACTACTACTGTAATATGGCTCCAATGCCATGGTGCTCCGCAATGGCGGGAAACGTCGTCAACTGAGCTCTTTTGCGTTAAAAAAGACAACGAGAAAAACAAAGAAATAAGCGTTGAGGACTTCTGTGCTTTTTTTTTTTTTTTTGCCGCTTTTCTACAAAGTTCTTACTGGTGCTCTCTTGTTCACAACTCGCCTTCCAGAAGGGCACAAACTAAGCTAAGTGACAATGTTTCCCGCCGTTGGAAAAAAATTAATAAATAACGTCGTGTTCCATACTGACTGACGACATTTACTGTACATTTAGCGAGAGGTGAGGGGAAAAAAAGAAAACAAACAAAAAAAAAACCCCAAACCTCGACAACATGGTGCGGCTTCACAAAAAGTCCTTCTACCTTTTTATAGCAATTTTTTGGTGTGCTGTTGTATCAACATTATAAAAGCACTTTTATACTTTCCTTTTTTTTTTTTTTTTTGTTTGTATTTGAATTTTTTTTTTTTTAATCAAGGTGGAAGTGATTTGTTTTACAATAAGGCGAACTACCCTGGCGCAATACTTTTTTTGTAGACAGTAAGGCTGTGCCAATAGTCTGGGGAGGGAGCGGGTCATTTCTTTTTTTTTTTTTCCTTTAAATATGTGAAAAACGTTCTTGTAGGACGCGATGTATAGTCAGACGCCCCTCCTTCTTTGTTGTAAAGCGGCGATAAATATACGTGGAGTGTAGAACCGCCCAGGTTTTATTAAGATTGTAATTGTGCATTTTATATGAATCAACCGTGCTTAAACGCACCCCCCCCTTCCACCACTATCCCCACAAAAAAAAAAATCCAAACAAAGTTGACTGCCTAATGTTGGTTGAATTCTGAATTGTAAAGAAAAAAAATTGTTCATAATTCAATATTTTGTGGTTGGGAGAAGAATCAGCCAGGGGACAAAAAAACAAAGTAAATGTGTAACGATTATTTCTGATGCAACCTTTGGTCGGCCGTCTATTTCGGAATCCGTTGTAGGAAATATTTGAAAATCATGGACAAAATTCAGCGAATAAATTCCATTGGATTGTACACTCCGAGTTAAATGTGGAGCTGGTAAACCAAAACACACGTCGGATGGGGAGGAATGTGGAGCTAAATGTGTCATTATTATATCAGGCGCCCCTCCGGCACTGCTCTCATGCGTCTTTCCTTTGGGGGTACCTGGCAAAAACATTTTGTTTTGTTCTGTTTAATTCACAGCGTTTCACATGAAGATGGACAAAATTAGCCGGCGAAAGTATCGTAACACTTGGTGCGCCCCTATCTCGTCAACCAAAACAAAAATGTCAAACAAAGCCCATTTTGTACATAGCGGTGAAAATTTTTATTTTACATTTATTTGGTTTAAAAAAAAACAATGAATATTTCTTGCCCCTGGCAAGGCACTTGCGCACCTCAATTTTGAGATCCATCGTGAAATGTTTTTTTTCTTCCTTTTCAATAATTTAACGTCAACGCAATTAGGAAAATTATCTGGTGGAGTCGGCGCACCCCCAACCTGTAAACTAAGCCAATTTAACCCAAAGTATGTCAAATGTATCTCCCACAACATAAAATAGATAAAATGTATTTTGTAGTTCGTTTGTTTAATTGCTTTTTAATCTGGGGGATGTTCCGGGGGTGTGCACAATCGCGATTCGAGATTCGGTTTCAGTCTCCTTGTTATAAAATGTCAATGCATCTTCGATTTTAATTCATGTTTTATATTCACGCCACATCTTCAGAGTTGGCGCACCACCAAATCCACCTCGACGACCCCACCCCCAATAAAATCCGAACAAAGTGTGTTAAGTGTACAGTTACAAACAATTTTCTGTCGTGGAAAAGCGCACCTGCCAACTCGCACACCCACATGGGTGAGCGAACGCACCCCAGTTCTGGACCAGGGGTCATCGCGTGGCACATATCGACAACCTAACCAACCGATGGATAATTTTGTATTCCTTTTTGTAATGTAGGGACGACTTCCGAAATCCACACATGAAAGCCCCAGCCGGGCTTCGAACCCAGAACCACAGAACTGCAAGGCAGACATGTAAACCACAAGTACACTGTTGCCACCTCCATGTACGGAAATAAGCGAGTAAATTCTCTTGATGGTAAACGGTGGAAAAGCTTAGCTAAACATGGAGGGATTTAAGCGTTGGCTTGTCAAAACGAAAAACTGACAAAAGTATATTAAAAAAAATGTTTAGCATATCTATTTAAAAGATTTTAACTCAATCTCTTAATGTAACTCAGTTCTTAAGTGACCTTACCGCCATCCGTTTCCTCACTTGCCACGAAACTTCCGTCGTCTTGTGTTTGTACATTTTTGTACAGAAACGTCGTCGTTTTTGTTTTTTTGTCCCTGCTATTGGATGGAAATGTACAAATGTAATTCTTGGTTAATATATAATCAATTGGGTGTTTTTTGGGGCGGGGGGTGTTTTTAAAAGAAAAAAAAAATCATGTGATGAATTTTGATTGCGATCTAGATGTAGTTTGGTCCAGTGTTTCCCAACCTTTATTATTAGGAACATTTCACTTCAAACCAAAACGTCACAAAAACTATATCGTGTTCCAATAAATAATTTCTCATCGTAATTAACTCAGAAAATTATTGCGTACCAAATATGGGCGGGCACAAATGGGCAAAAGTTTAATTGTATCTTCCTTCTGCCATCGAGCGAAAGAGCATTTCACTGTTCTGCCTCTCACGAGACATCACATAGAAAGGTGACCAAAGATTTGTGGTCAACTAATCATAATTTGCGGACCAATTATGTGAAATTGAAGAATTTGTCTTGGTTGGAAATCACTGGTTTAGTTGCTATTTTCCGCACGCGAAGTTGAGCGACTTGGCGGGCACAGCCCAACCCCGGCGCCATGTTGTTCAGGCTTGTCACGGAGCAACTGTCGCGAGTTGCTTTTCCCACTTTACGGCATCTATAAATATGAATTTTGTTCTTCTTGTTTTAGCAGACAAACGATTATTTGATGTAACTATATTAACAAAAGGCATTTTAACTTTGACGGGAAGAAAAAAAATGTTTTCTTACGTTGTTTTAGACTTTTAGAGGATTGCTGTAGTCGGTGCATATTTGTGGGACAGTTGTGAGAAAGGAAAAAAAAAACGGCAGCGCGATGTATCGATGCGCTTGTTTTCTCCCCCGAAATTCCGCGCGGTGAACTTCTCCCCATGTCTGTTTTTGAAATGTTTGATTCACATCACTGGTCAAGGCGAGTCGCCTTTGAAACCGTCACTGTTGTTTATAGCCGATGTGCTTTTTTCGCCCCCTTTGGAGTTCAGTTCTGACAGCAAATGTAGCACTCAGAGCTTCACACACACAAAAAAAAGTTACGTTTCGTGTCCAGAGAGAAGCTAAAGACTCCGTATGTAATTGTGCTGGAGAACACTTGAATAAACGTATTGGTTTTGTTTTTGCTTTTTGTTGATTTGTGAAAAAAAGTGTATGTTTTGTGTCTCTCTGTACACACATCATGCAAAACATTGAAACTTAAAGCATTGTTTTATTTTACGTCCCCATCAGCTTGTTAGTGGCCATTTTTACCCAGCTTCAGACTTAGTGTTTTTACTGCATCAATTTTTTTTTTTTTAAAAACTAAAATCAATTTTTGTCATTAGTAGAAGAATCCGATCATTTTCATTTTTCAAACTGTCAATTTCCTGTTTCTTTGCATTGAACAGTTTAAAAAAACAACCCCAAAACTGGAATTGGTGTATTTTCTCAGTGCCACCATTTTTTTTTTAAATGCAGTACTGCTTTGAGATACAAGTGACCCGAGTTTTTCAAGATGCAAGCCGCCATTCAGACAGCATTTGGGGACTTTTTACCCTTCACATAAAGCAGTGGCAGACAAAGTCCGTCAAAAGAAACAAAGACGTACAGATTTTTAATGCTGCACCCAGTTTATGTTTGCTGTAAAATTAAGACACTTTGTGATTTAAATCAGAAAAAAAAAACTTTAGCCCCCACGAGCTAAATGGTCATGCGTTTTGGAAAACGACAGACTGTTTCACAGGAAGCAAATTGTTCATCCAATATGGCGGCGGCTTTAACGTAAGATGCAGCACTCAACGAGGCATCTGTGTTTGTATGATTATTATTGGCGATTTCCACTGTTGGCCGCGCCCCTTGCCGCCTCCAATTGGTTGCTCAGGCGACCGTCTGTGCCGAAAGCGGTCAATTCTTGACAAACAAAACCGGAAGCGATGGAAGGAACAAGACAATGAATACAGTACGATAAAAATCAAACTGTGTGATACATTTTCTCTATTTGACCAATATAACGCGTTTTATTGTACTAATTATTATTTTGAAATATTACAGGCAGCAACACGCGTATTTAATTTATTTGTCTCTTGTCGCGGCGAGTAAACCGAGACATGAATTATTTTTATTTTGAAAGCCCGTACAGGAACCACTTCTATCACGTCACGATCACGCCAATTTAGCGTAAATCTGGTGGTCCTGCACCGGCCGGGAAAGGCATCCATCTGCTGTTAATTGTGAGTTTGCCTCCCGGCCCAGTATCGCATTGTGTGTGTGTGTGTGTGTGGAAGGAAGACGAGGAGTCGAGCGCAACTGCTTCAGCTGCACACCCGGACATCAGGTATGCAGGGGCGGCTTCCTTCATCGGCTGCACCCGGGTAGATGCGGAGTCTCCCAAGAGAGGAGAGGAGGGGCTGGAAGTGGGATTTTATTTAAAACCCTTGGGCGAGGCTGTACGTCTCCGGCTTCTCGCCCTGGAGTAGCACAACTACTACCTCCAGGGTTGTTTTTGTGCTAACGAGGGCACTTTACGGGTCGTTTAAGGGTACAGAGGCCGGGTTAAGAAGAGAGGAAGGAGGAGGTGCAGGTGGGAGGAAGAGGGAGGAGGGAGACGGTTAGGCGTTACTGGGTCGGCTACGATAAGCTGTCTGACGTTCGCCGATTTCTTTGTCATCATTTCAACCACATTTGTAAATCACAGCATGCGCTCCGATGAAAGTTAAAAAAATGCACGAACACGAAATGCCTTTTTTTAAATGCACATATTTCTACAATCGGACATCTCCTTGGCACATTATCATGATGTATGTTTTGATGATTTTTTTTTTTTTTTTGGGTGGGGGCTACTTGGGTATAATGCAACTCTCGTGCTGTCATCAAGGCAGGGATGCCATCGACCCGCCTCACCCGCATAAGCAAAAAGGACGCGCGCCATTACGCATGGGCGTCATTCATACACAGAGGGGAAAGAATGCCAGTCATGATATTTTTTGTTTTAGCTGCAACTTTTGGACTCTGATTTAAAAAAACAAACAAAAAAAAACAAACATTCAACTTAGGTTTGTGTCTCTTTTTGATGTAATCATCTTTGAACTCAGAGACACTGGGCCTCGCCTGCTTTTTCAAGGGGGAATCATAGACTTGCATGTTATCCAATATAGGCGCAGCTTTTGAACCAAACAACGGCCCAGGAGCCATTTGCGGCCCGTCATCCGTTTTTAGCAGCCCCGGCATAACTACATGAACAACTACCACGGCCCATTTCCCTTTCTTGTATTGTACTGCTTACATTCCACACCGCGTGGCAAAAACAGAGAAAACAACGAAAAATTTCAGTCCCATCTCCCACCTCCCCATTTTCTGTCAATCAAAGATTAAAATTAAATAAATTCTTGGGGAATTTTTTTTTCCCCATATGTACCCCTCAGAATTAAAAGTTTGGACACCCCTGAAATAGACTATTTGCTGGATCCACGGAAGAAAATTCGACATTGTTGCATTCAAGGGGGTGAAAAATAGGCTCGTTGTTACATTCTAGTTGAAGAAGATAGACTTTGTTGCGTTCAAGGGGAGGGGGAGAAAAAAAATAGACTTTTTGTTGCATCAGCGTTTGAGCTCACGTCAGCGTCGAGGCGGTGACTGACACCAATGGCCACCCGCTCCCCAAACAGATTTAAGTTTCAGCCTGGCCTCTCTCTCTCGTCCACTCACAGCCACGCGGTCTCACCATGCGCTATTAATATTTAGCAATCAAATTCAATTGAGGTTTTAGTCAGCCCCCCTCCCCCCAAAAAAAGATGATTCCGGGTCTTCCCCGCAGAGCTAAAGCCATGACTACCAGCGCGGCCATGGTGCGCATCCTGATCAAGGGCGGCAAGGTGGTGAACGACGACTGCACGCAGGAGGCCGACGTCTACATCGAGAACGGCGTCATCCAGCTGGTTGGCAAGGAGCTGATGATCCCCGGCGGGGCCAAGGTGGTGGACGCCTCCGGGAAACTGGTCATGCCCGGCGGCATCGACACCAGCGTGCACCTGGAGGAGACTTTCATGAACGCCACCACGGCCGACGACTTCTACAGCGGCACCAAGGTAAGCGCCGACTCGACAAGGCAGCCAATCTCTCTGAAACTTTTTTTTTTGGGGGGGGGGTATTTTTATTTCGTTTTCTTATAGTACCCTTAGGAGGATGTTTTTTTTTTTTTTTGTATTATTTTTGTGTCTTTTTTCAGTTTTATAGTACCCTTAGGAGGTTGTTTTTGATTAGTATTTTTTTTAATAGTACCCTTCGGAGGATGTTTAGATTTTGATATTTTATATCATATTTAAGAAATAAAACATTCTATTAGCCCAGAAAAAACAAACAACTTAATAGTTACTTCGGTCTACTGGATGAGACCATTAGGCATGTCAAAAACACGTCCAAAACAAAGGCCTGGGCATCCTGGTATCCTGTAATCAATTGAAAAGGTACTACTAAGCAAGACATTAAGTAAGAAGTGGAGTGGAGAGGCATGCGATAATAAAAATATGTGAAATAATCTATTTTAGGAGATTTAAATTGGGCCCGAGGGCGCACAATATTTATTTGAGGGGTGGCCAGGCCCCCTCTTGTCCCTGCCTAGACCCGGCCCTGTGTGCAATGTTTGGAGTCTGGTTCTTGTTTGGACTGCACTCTCCAGTTCTTGTTTTGAGATGGCATAAACCTTCAGTTTATGAACACTTTAAATTCCACCTATTTAAAAAAACAAAAATAGAAAAAAACGAGACCCTACGCTCTGCCAGCCCATTTTGAACATTCTGACTAATCTCTCTAATCTTCCCCCGGGATGGAGCATTCGACTGCAATAAAATGTTGAGTTGAAATTTAGAAATAGTCCAGCCCCAATTTTAAAGTCACATCTGGATTTAAATCAGCGGATTACGAAAATGGCCTGGCACATTCCGGTAAGCGCCGCATTGCGTGACGGACCGGAACGGGGCCATCCCGACACAATAACCTGGCGCGCGACGCAGCCTGAGCCATGGCGAGATGCGCTGCCGTCACTTTCGTCAGCCAACAGATGCTGCCTCTCTTCTCCGGCCCGTCTTCCTCCGCCCCCTCCTTACCCGTCGCCGCCGCTGAGCTCCGCGGCTCCTGCGGAGACAAACGCCGTCCCGTTTCCATGGCTACCACGGGTCTCGCTGCGAATTCCGTCCGGAGGCCTTTTGGCTCGCACCATTGTGCTCGGAGACAATGGCTCTCAGACCCGCCACGCCAGGACCGCTATAAATATCCCGTGCCCAAGACGCCACCCTCCTCCACGCCGGAGAGCCAGTTGACAGATGCTGTTGTAAACAACAACACGTTCACGCTCGGGTTCGAAAATGTACACGGTTGTAGGAAAAAAAAAAAAAAAAAGCAAAACGTATGCGGGTGGTTCTCCGAAAATGTGGTCCAGGAGTGTTCACGAGAAAATAAAGAATCCATTTTGGACCCATTAAGTAACAATGCACGTTGCCATGGCACACCTTCTGATCTCACATGACACACTAATTGTGCTACAGCACAGAAGTATGAATTATTGATCAGAGTTTGTCTTTCGATTTATTTATTTATTTATTTTCCCCGCACTCTTGCAGCCGTTATTCCCGGAAGGCCACGCCTACCTCGGGAGAGGCGCAATATTCAAGATACCGTCAAATCAGGATTGTTATCAGGTGGCCCCCGTGGTCCGAGTGGTTAGCCCGTCGACCTCACAGTGCAGAGGTCGTGGGTTCGATCCCGCCTCCAGCCTCCCTGTGTGTGGAGTTTGCATGTTCTCCCCGGGCCTGCGTGGCTTTTCTGCGGGTAGTCCAGTTTCCTACCACAATCGAAAAAAGGAGTGCATGTCAGGAACAGAATAAAGGAAGGAAAGACTTACAGGCAAGCACTGTGTCTGCCGGCCACATCTCAATGATGAGGTGTGAGGATTAGCTGTATCTGAAGCAACACCCCCGCTATGTTCTCCAAATATGTATTATCTCCCCTCACAACCTCCATCCTCATCCGTTTGGCATTGAAGGAATCGCTCATATGCCATGTTGTCAGGGCTGAGAGAAGGAGAAAGTCCATCACACTGTTGGCCTCACTTCATTATCTGGAGCAGGTGGCATACGGCCATGAGGACAAAATAGGTATGCTTTTTCGTAGCTGGTGATGATGTATGTGTCTGACTATGCAATACCGAGTCAAGTACACAAACAGTTTGTGATTTGATACATCATGTTGCAAACGTAGGGCGTGGGGCGGCACGGTGGTCAACTGGTTAGCACGTCAGCCTCATAGTGGAGAGGTACAAGGTTAAATTCTCCGGCCTTCCTCCTGTGGAGTTTGCAAGTTCTCCCTGTGCCTGCGTGGGTTTTCTCCAGGTACTCCGGTTTCCTCCCACATTCCAAAAACATGCATGGCAGGTTAATGCAACATCATCCCTACGTGTGAGTGTGAGCGCGGATGGTTGTTTGTCTTTGTGTGCCCCGCGATTGGCTGGCAACCGGTTCAGGGTGTCCCCTGCCTACTACTGCCCGAATATGGCTGGGATTGGATGGATGGATGGAGGGATTTAATATTGTCCTGTGTTAAGTAAACTGTACTCTAAGGCTGTTGTTTTTTTTTTAATTTTCTCCAGGCGGCCTTAGCTGGAGGTACCACCATGGTGATCGCGCACGTTCTGCCGGACAAGAATGAGTCCCTGTTGGAGGCCTACGAGCAGTGCCGTAGCTCAGCCGACGGCAAAAGCTGCTGCGACTACTCGCTGCACGTGGGAGTCACTTGGTGGGGTCCCAAGGTAGTGCGGCATCTGCTGTCCTTTACCGCTGTCCTCCGTTAACCATCGGCCCGCCTTTTTAGAAAGAGAAAAGCGACAGCCAATCGCAAGCATTCCGGCTGATCTTTCGAGGCGATTTATGAGCACGCAAACACAGAAATGGATGATTAGAATCGATTTTTGGACAAGCAACGGGAAAGGCTCGATCCCCTCTGAGCCTCCGCTTCGTTCTCCGTACCTCTAATAGTGTCTGGTCCGTGGACCTGAGGCACCGGGCAGGCGCGTAGGAGCTCAGAGAAGTAAGATGAGGCGAGGCCATTGAAAGATTTGAAAACAAAGATCTTAAAAAAAACTCTAAAATGTAGAGGGAGCCAGTGAAGGGATGCCAGAGTAGGAGTGATGTGCTCCCTCTTACGAGTACCAGTCAAGAGGTGAGCGGCAGCATTCTGGAGCAACTGGAGACGCTTCATGGAGGATTGGCTGATTCCAAAGTCAAGTGCCTTACAGTAATCAAGATGCGACGAAGGCATGAATGACTGTTTCAAAGCGCTCCTGAGAAAGGAGACGCTTGACTTTATCCAGCTGCTAAAAGCGACTGGAAGTTACCGCTTCACTCATATTCGGCAAAGACGATATGAATCAGAATGCCGTGTTTAGACGAGTGGAGCCTCGTAGGACAAATTGCTGTCAAGAAAGATTTTGGAGTTGACTTGTCCCCGTTAAGAACTGCTGGGCTCTTTTGCTCACGACGAAAGTGAGCATGAAGGAGGACGGTTCGACTCTCTGCAGAGCTCTCAACGCGATGTTCACTTTGGACTTGTCCCCCCCCCCGCCTGCAGGTGCGCGCCGAGATGGAGAAGCTGGTGAGGGAGGAGGGCGTGAATTCCTTCCAGATGTTCATGGCCTACAAGGACGTGTTCATGCTGAGGGACAACGAGCTCTTCCAGGCCCTGCAGCACTGCAAGGACATCGGCGCCATTGCCAGAGTCCACGCGGAGAACGGGGAACTGGTGGCCGAGGTCTGGGACAAAAGTTTGCTCCAATATTTGTATTTCGACTCACCCCCTCGACGCAACGGGCGTGGGCGGATTTAAAATATTGACTTCCCAGTAACGATGACTGGCTAAATGTGGCTCGAAGTTTCGCTTCATAAACGCACATGATGCTGTGGCTAACACCAAAGTGTGGCTAAGAGCTTTTTATACTGTTTCGCCACATTGGGTAAAAGGTCTCAGGATCCGGGAGCCAACCCTGGAAGAGGGTTCTTATTTTTAAAGAACCACATAGCTTAACCTGTGCTCAGTTAGCTTCATGCTAATGCTAACACATAACGGATTTGTCCCCACCCAAGGGTGCTAAGGAAGCCCTGGAGCTGGGCATCACTGGTCCGGAGGGCATTGAGATCAGCAGACCGGAAGAGGTACGAAAACCCCAATCGCCACCACCCAAATGCGCCTCCGAGTCATTCGCTTTCCACCAGGCAAGACAGTCCACATCCACACCTGAACCCCCCCCACCTGAATCCCGGTCTAACAATTCACTCGCAGTCATTAAAAACAAACAAACAAACAAACGTCGTGCGTGCGTCTGGACCGTGGTAAAGCGAGGACACCCAATATAGCAACGCACCAAATCCAAGCCCCCGATTCGCCGCTCAATTGAAGCGTGACCAAGGCAACTGTAACGTTTGGTGGGAAAAATGAGTCAAAGCTGATCCGTACGGAGGTGACATCATTCAGAGAATAAACGCACTGTCACACCGGAGATGCTCTCATCGGGTCCCCGCGTGACCTCATCTTGACTTTTCACAGTTGGAGGCGGAGGCAACCCACAGGGCTATCACCGTCGCCAACAGGGTGAGGGGAAAACACGCCAAAAAAAGACGCTGACGACAATCATGCTGGAAAAAAAATTGGTCGTCACTCAACGAGGGTTGGTTTTTCTTTCCCGTTTAGGCCCGCTGCCCAATCTATCTGGTCAACGTGTCCAGCATGGCGGCGGGGGACGTGGTGGCGACGGCCAAAATGCAAGGTGATGCCTTTACGCACGTTCAAGATGGCGGACGTATCGCGAGCAGCGATCAAGGGCTACGCGAGTCAACATGAACGTCTTAACTTGACTCTGAAACGCTGCCGATTTGTCCGCTTAGCGCACTGAAAGCAGGCGTCGCTCAAGTGGCAAATCAAATAGCGCTTCATGTTTGAGAGCACGAAAACGTATCGGCTTACGGCGCCTGGAAGATATCTCACCGGATCACCGCCCGGTTTTCCACGCCACGGCGCTAGCCAGGAGCTAGCTAGCTAGCTCGCGAGCTAACAGGCTGCGTGCAGTTCGTTCATAACTTCCCAATTCGCGATTGCGCTGGATTGCCATCGATTGCGAACGAAGGCACTCAAGTTCAGTCGAAATGCTGGTTCAATTCCTTCATTTCAAGATGGAATATGTAGTCTTGAAGCTGCTAGCAAGATTTGAACGAGGGCTCACTTCACATCTCCGACCCGGCTCGCGTTTCTGCCCGAAGGACCCGTCGGCTGAGCCACGGCACTTTCAAAACGGACGATCAATTATAGCAGACGGGAGTTAATCAACTTCTGTTGACCCGATGGGAACGGTTACGTCAGTGGCGGTGGTTGCGGTTCATGAAAACGCTTCCAAAAACTGTGCCAATCTGATTTTTTTGCGGGGGGACTGTACAGTGGTACCTCTCGTTCCGAAATGAATTGATTCCGTAAGAAATTTCTTAACTCGAAGAGACGTTTGCAAGTAGAGGTCAAACTGTACTTGAGTCCCACCGCCGATGAGAAATCCCTTGAGTAAAGCGTGCGTTGTGTGCCACAGGGAGGGTGGTCCACGGAGAGACGACCACCGCCCACGCCGTGCTCAACGGCGCCCCCTACTACCATCAGGACTGGTCCTACGCTGCGGGGCACGTTACGCTGCCGCCGCTGCGCCTGGAGCCCAGCACGCCCAATTACCTCATGAGCTTGCTTGGAAAGTAAGGATCTCGGAAAAAGATTTCGCCAAAGTGGGCTGCGCGTATGCTGACAATCGGGTCAATCTTTGAGGTTCTTGTTTTGGTTTCCGACTTTGCCGCCTTGGCCGCCGCACACGTACGGCGTTTCGTTTCAGACGTCGGCGGAAACGTTCAGGTTCTGAGATATCCTTTTGTGAACTTGTGAAGAACTTTCCGGCTCTTATTTTCAAGATGTGAATCTCTTGCTTTCAACTTCACGGTGACGTGTTTCGGGTCGCGGATTGTCGCACATTTTTAGGTTGGAGTTCTCCAGCTTTCTTCCGTCCGTCTGAATGCCCCGTGGCTCCACGCTGCCCCTTTCGGGTCATTCTTGGAACTACATCAGATTCCGTGCGGCATACGCAGTTAACACTTGAAAAGCAGCTCTTACATTTTTTGCAACTCAAGCGAAACGTTCCAACTCAGTATGCGTGTTGCCCACTCAAAGCGTGAGTGCGTCTCCATCTTGGTAAAATGACGCTGCCGCGATCTTGCCTCCTCTCAGTGACACTCTGAACGTGGTCGGGTCCGACCACCGTCCCTTCACCACCAAACAGAAAGCCATGGGCAAAGATGATTTCACCAAGATCCCCCACGGGGTCCCGGGCATTCAGGACCGCATGAGCGTCATCTGGGAGAAAGGGGTGGTACGTGTGCCGCTCCCATCTCAGAAGCGTGGGGGGGGGGGGGGGGGGGAACGCCCAGAACGAAAAAACTCCGCTCCGTCGCCTGACGTCCTCTTGACTGTTTCCAGATCGGAGGAAAGCTCGACGAGAATCGCTTCGTCGCCGTCACCAGCTCCAACGCGGCCAAGATCTACAACCTTTATCCCAGAAAAGGCAGGATCATCCCGGGAGCGGACGCCGACGTGGTGGTCTGGGATCCCGAGGGCTCCAAGTATGAATCCCCCCCATCGTCGACCGGCGCTTTCTTTTACTTTTCCCGGACCTTGTCGGACCGATCGGCCGCGGTTCCGTCTTGTCTTTTCAGGGTCATCTCGGTGGAAAACCAGGTGCAGGGCGGCGACTTGAACCTTTACGAAGGTCTTCGCTGCCACGGCGTCCCCTTGGTCACCATCAGCCGAGGGCGGCTGGTCTACGAGAACGGCATGTTCACGTGCGCCGAGGGCTCGGGGAAGTTCTGCCCTCTGAGGACTTTCCCGGATTATCTTTACAAGAAGATGGTTCAGCGGGAAAAGGTACCGCAGAGGAACCGTCGGCTCGATTCGCTTGACGGAAATGCTGGCGGCGGAGCGCGAGATACATTTCGACACACACACACACAAATATATCACCTAGATATTGATCGCTGTAACTGATCGCATGTAACAGGCGTCATCCGGGGACCTTATTTTCCCGTTGTCGCCAAATCGCGAGTGGTACCTCAACTTACGAACGTCTCTTCATACGAAATTTTCAAATGACGAAACGCCTCAACGGGAAAATATTGCCTCTTGTTACGAAAGAAATTTTAAGACACGAAAAGGTAAAAATACAATGTGGGCTTGCTACTCGGAGCTCTGAGTTTCCTGAACGCAACATACTGAGAGCTGCTCTGCCATTGGCTATTCCCGAGCATCATCCTGGCATCCTATTGGCTAAGAGGAACCTCTACGGAATGCGTCTCTGCGTGTGGCTGGATAGTTAAGTGTCTATGCAGCGTCCTCGTCAGTCATGAGGCGTTCCCATAGTTTTACGTAAATGTGAATCACCCAGAAAAAGTGTTCACCAGTCGGACGATCGCTCATTACGCCGATGTTTGCCTCGGACATTTTCGAAGGATTGTTAAAAGCCGACAAAAGCGAACGTCCTTGAATCAGTTATTTACAAAACGCCAGGCAAAAACCACTTCGGAGAGAGAATATGAACGAAAGAGGGCAAAAAACGAGGAGGACGCAGTTCAAAGTTTTTATGCGTTACTCTATTCTTTGTTTTTTACATTATGCAAAACTCTCATTTATTGCGCAACAATCGAATTGGAACATGCATTTGTTTGCGTTATAAAACTTCAATGTCACAATTTTGGGGGGCTCGGAACGGATTAAGGAATTTACATGGAAAACGCGTCTCTACTTCACAAAATTTTCTAGTTCAGAAATTGCTTCCAGAAGTGGAGGTACCGCTGTCGTGGCAACGGTATAGAATATATGTTGGTAAAAGGTGCAACGATTCAGCGACAACTCATCCATGATCACATTCATGAATATTTAATTTTCTGCACCAAATGACAACTGAATCAAAAATCTGCCCGAAAATGTCACTTCGATCTGCCTACGCCGTTCCAAAGTCCGATTTACAGTCACGGTGCTTTTTGTAAACTCTCGTTTGTCATCCATCGCCCGAGCCAAATCCGTCCGCGAGCAAATTTGAGGTTCTTTTGCATACGTGTGGACCCCCCCCCCCCAGTGCCAGGCGGCCAAGCGAGTGGAGCGCGAGCCGTACACGGGAGACGTGGTGGCGGTGGCGAACGCCGGAAAGAGGGACGCGGCCACTTCGGATCTGGACACGCCCACGCGACCCTGCACCCGTCACGGCGGCGTGCGGGACCTCCAGGAGTCCAGCTTCAGCCTGTCCGGTGCGGACGCGGCGTCCGAGGCAAGTCACCGAACGCTAAAGCGCCGCCGGAACTGACAAAAGCCGCTTTCGCAGGTGCCCAGATCGACGACAAGATTCCCAAAAGATCCTCGGCCAGGATCCTCGCGCCACCCGGAGGGAGGTCCAGTGGGATCTGGTAGAGGCTGAGAACACCCGATAGCCGACGATATCAGGGCGGGGGAAGTTTCCGTCCGAGCGAGTCAAGGTTGTACTTAAATAGTGTGGGATAAAGAAGGGCAGGTTTTAAATGTTTTCTTTTTTTTCTGGTTAACTAAGCCCAGTTTCTTCATAC